GTCGGGATTTCCGTTTGGGGCGACACACCGAGCTTTCGGGCGGGGAATCATGTCGGCGAAGGCGGGTTCTGGCATTTGGGTGATGCGCGCCGATCTGGAGGGGTGGACCTCGAGGGAGGTGGACGCCCCCGAGGCGCAGTGGGGGGCCGGGTTCAACCGCCAAGGGGGTCCAGACGCCCTTTGGAAAAGGGGGGGGGGGTCATTGGGTGCTGCAGCCAAGGGGGGGGGGAGAAGGACATGAACAACATCCCTGCGCAAGCCGTCCCCGCCCGGGGGGCCGCAGGGGGTGCCTTTTCAACCCACTTTGGGCACCGTTGCAGGTGGGTGTTCCTTTTCCCACCCAATTGGGTTCCATTTTGGTCCACCGGGGCCCACCCCATATTTTGTTTTCAGGTTGATTGGGGCGTGTGTTGCGCAATGCCCCCCCCCCAGACGCTGGCCAGAGCATGATTGGGATCCCTCTTTTGGGGCCGGGGGGGCTTTCGACAGCGCGGGAGGCTGCCTCCCTGCCCTTTGGGACGCTTGGGACCACTGTTGAGTTGCATCCAGTACAGAGTACCAGTGGTGGGGAGGGCTTGGGCCCCCCCCCCCCCCCCCGCAGAATGGTAAACTCGTGTCTACTCACCTCGTCGGCTCCATCGGCTGCCTCTCCTCGTGCGCCGGCTGCCTCTCCATCCAACCGCTTCTGCGTCCTTCTCTGCCCGGTGCTCGCGATGTCGCTCTGCCGAGAGGGTCATCGCCGGCGTAGGCGGAGCGGCGGGCCCTTCATTACAGAGACAACAAAGACATTTCTGAACAGTGAACATTCTCTGTGAATTCATGTCGTCTTCTTTAGATGCTGCATTTGACGCGCCTTTTTTACGAGTACTTGCTTTTGCTACACGTACACGTGCGTGGATGGGAGGCGTGATGCCAAGCCCAGACGAGGAGCGCTGACAAGCCATCGAAGGCCCCGCCACGGGGGGGTCCCGGCCACGTCATGGTCGTCCGGACGCGGCCCTCTGTACACGGAAACAGCTTACCGCAGACATTACCGAACTCAAAACTGCTTACAAAAGGCTGATACGAGCTCAGCTCAGTGAGATCTAGCAGCACATACCCTCAGTATCCAGAATACTCGAGTAGTTAAGTCTGAAAAAGTCGGTCCGACCCCGCAGAGCGGTCTGGCTGTCTGCAGAGGCCAGAGCTTCCGTCCGGGCCCTGAGAAATGTCGGAGGCATGTCGGCCCATGTTCGCGATTTTGATGGCGTTGCCCTCATTGCACGTGAAACAGACGGCGCCGGCCACGCACCCTTGTTCCCGGAGGCCAACTCGAACAGGTTTGAGCAAAGGCCGCCTTCCATGCTCGATATGCAGCAGGAGCTTAGTTGACCCTGCTCGAAGGCCGCCTGCTCTAAGGCCGCCCTGCTCTCGGCATTGCGTTGTTGACTGATAGCACTGTCTGATCCAACCAGAAAGAGCCGTCGAAGAGCCGTCGAGCTACATGAGACCCAAGCAAGTCGTCGTGATGTACCAGAAAAAGAAACTAGGGCCAAAATTGAGATCTCAGGATCGACATTAATTTCTCGCGCCTACTTTCGCTGCTTGAGACTCGCCAAATACTATAGATCCTGTGTCTATGACCGTGTGCAACGTCAAGTCGTGAACCGCGACAAGACCATCGCGCCAAGCGCGACTCTGTTGCTTTATGCGGCAGCATTCACCGTGACTCTTGCCGTGGATGGTGAGTGCCGCGGTTGCTTACGCAATACTACGCCGTGAACTGAGCTTCACCAGCCGTTTCTCTTCCTTCCCTTGCCTTCTTCTTGCCGTCCGTTCTCTGTGCGCATTCCACTGCATGCGGCATCACACGCGTCAGTTGTAGGGCTGAGAGATCAGGTGTCTGAATGGCGACAGTGAGCGACTCCTACTTGTGGATTGCGCTCGAGATCCGTCCGAGGAGCGCAAGAGCGCGCCGCAGGCGAAGCGATTTTTTGGAGGCAGGGCTGTTCCAGTTTATCTTGTGATCACGCTCGAGCCTGTGAATAGGCCCCGGAGGCCTCAACCCCCAACTAAAGGGTTGAGGGGGGGTCTCAACCGTCAACCAGATGGTTGAGGGGGGGCCGGCCTCAACCCTCAACCCCTCAACCACCCCTCTGGGTAGACATTCGGAGTCCCTTTTCGTTCGTTTACAACATTTTCCCAGCGGCCCAGGATGGCAGAACTGGCCGTTTCCAGACTGGGGACTATTGTGCGCCTCGGCAAGGCGCTTCCGGTGGTATTTTTTTCGAGCGCAGTGGACTTCATCTTGCCGGTCAACTGCCGGCGGTCGACAACTGCCGTTCGAGCAGCGTCGGGTACCGCCGGCAAGATGAACTCACCTGAAGCTGAGCCGCGGCATGCGGGGCGGCACGCCGCAGGCGGGGCGGCATGTAACTCGAGCGCCGCTTTTTTCCCATGTAGAACGAAACGTAGAAAGGTTGAATGTAGTTGCAAACTTCCCCCCCAAGCGGCTCGCCGGCAACTAGTGCCGCCCGCGCCTGGCGCGACCGCCTTCAAGCGCGGGCGGCCCGTGACTTTGCTCCACCAAAACGGGACAAGGCAAAAACACAGTTGCACAGATACATGCCGGCGGCGCGACTCCCCCCCGCAGATCGCCCTCAGTGGGGGAGACCGCGACACCGGTGACGGAGCGCAGCTGGGAGTGTCTTTGGCTCACGCCAGGGCGCTCGTTGCTCCTCCGTCTCTTTGTACGTACTTTTAGCTTACTCTCTCTTTGTATCTTCCATACATACTGCGTTTATCAGAACACCCACAGTGGTCAGTGCTGAGTGCTCAACGTGGGAACCCGGGGCCCGAGGGATGCACAAACCGGCTCCACGCATGATCAGGTCCTCCTCCTCCTCTCTCTCCTCTCTCTCCGAGAAGGAGTCGCCCGCGGCCGCCGTCGCGGGCTCCGCCGCGGCGCAGGTTCGCTCACCACACGACACACAATGCCCGGCACGGCTGTCTCAACCCTGACCGACTCCGACATTAGGCCTTTCTCGCCTCCATCAGCCTCACATCCCAACCGGCTGCGACTCGTCATCGCTGCTGCGCCCGCGCCGGAGCCGCCTCGCGCACCGCAGGGCGGTGCTCACAACCGCCTGCAGCCACGGTCGGCGCGGCCGGTCTCTGCGTCGCCGCAGGCGAGGCGGGCAGCGCGTCGAGCGGCTGCAGTGCGCCGTGCGGCTCCGACCTCGACGCGGGAGGCGGCGCAGGTCCATCCGACGCTATCGGCTGCGGCGGCGACGCTGACGGCGGCGGCGACGAAGCGTGCTCTGGCGGCAGCTGCGCAGGCCGCGATGCTGCGGCCGCTGCGGCGCCCACCAACCGGGCCTCGCCTCAAGGGTTGAGTTGGCCATTGAGTGCATTCGTTCCTGATAGGCGCTCGCCTTCCTGTCCGGCCTTCTGCTCGAGGCGCCAGGCTCTCGCTCCCTGTCTGCAGACCTCGAGGAGGCGCGCGCCCCGCCCTCCCGCCCTCCCGCCCTCCCACCCTTCCCCTGGCGAGGGTGGCGTGAGAGGCGAGCCGCGCCGAGTCTGCTCCTCTCCCCCGCCCGCACTGCATGATGGACCACACTGCACAGCAGAGGCGTCTCGTGCGCCAGGCCCTCTCCCCTCGCCGCGACGGCGCCCCCTCCGCCGCCGACGCCGAAGCAGCGCTCGAGGGCGGCGCGGGCGGAGCGTCACCGCAGGCGTGTGCGAGAGGCGGCGGCGAGGCAGGCGGGCTGCTCTCCCTCTCGCAGGGGGGTGGCGACAGGCAGGGCGAGGGCGCTAGCCGGGCAGACGGCTGCGGCGACCCGCCACCCGGCGCTTTGGCACACGGCACTCCCCGTCACGGGAGGCTGGACCTCGCCGGGCTGCGGGCTGCGGCGGGGTGCGGTGCGGCCGGGGGGGAGGAGGGTGGGGGAGGCGAGCGGGGCGGAGGGTCGGGAGGGGGAGGGGCGGACTCGCTGGTCGGGCCGCGCCTCTTCTTCTCTCTCGGAGGGCCGCCCGTGGTCGCCTTCTCGGCGCGCCTGCCCCCCCCCGTCTCTCGTCTCCACCGCCCACTCCTCCTCTCCTCCATCTCCTCCTCCCGCCCCCCCTTCCCCGTCCGCCTCCTCCCCAGCCCCCTCCCCCACCCCACCTCCCTCGGCGGTGAACGGAGGCTCTTCCCAGCCGGCGTCTCTTCACAGCTGCAGCTGTGAACAGGTGCTCCCATTCGTGCGCGAAGAGGTGGAGCGGGCGAGGCGACGCGGCGCCGACACGCGACCGTTCGTCTCTCAGCTGGTCCAGCAGCAGCGCGCGAAGCAGCTCGCGGCGGCGCGGCAGAGGGCGGCGAGCGCGGGGGTGGCGCAGGAGCCCGAGGCGGTGGCGGACGGGCGGATAGTCGGCGACGAGGGCGGCGGCGGCGAGGGTACGCTCAAGCTCAAGGGCACGTCGTACGGCTTCCTGCTGCGCGAGGGGAGCAGGGAAGGGAGCAGGGAGAGGAGCAGCAGGGAGGGCCACTCGAGCGGCGACGGGGGCGGCGCGCCCTCCCGACCCGCACTCTCGCGCACGACCCGAGATCACCGAGATCACCCGAGATCATCACCCGAGATCACCCGAGATTACCCGAGATCATCACCCGAGGCTAGACCCGTACTTCCTCGACGACCCGGCGCTGCAGTCGGGCAAGGAGCGGATGGTGTTGAACCTGCCCGGCCTGGTGGCGTCGGTGCTGCCCTACGTGCGGCCTCGCGCCCTCAAGGCGGAGCCGAGCCCCCGCCTCCCCCACCCCTCCCCCACCCCACCCCACCCCACCCTACCCCACACACACACACGCCGCACCGCAACCGCCCCCCCTCCCTCCGACCGCACACACACCCCTCCCGGACCCGCCCCAACCCTCCCCGCCCCGCCCCCGCCCTCTGCCCACTTCACCGCCCGCCCTCTGCCATCCCCCCGCCCCCTGCCCATCCCCCCCCCCCCCCTCTCAGGCCCAGCTCAACGAGCAGTGGGCCCTCAAGCACCAGTGGGTCAGCCGCGGCCTCACCCTCTCCAAGATCCGCGCCGCAAAGGCGCCGCTCCCGCCGCCGCCCGCCGCCGCCGCCACCTTCCCCCCGCCTTGCCCGCCCCGCCCCGCCTTGCCCGCAGGCGTCGGTGCTCGAGTGGGCTCTCGAGATTGCCCGAGCTCACCCGAGCTCACCCGAGCTCATCCGAGCCCACTCTCACCAGGCGTCGCTGCTCGAGTGGGTTCTCGAGGCCAACTGCGAGGTGTCGACATCGCCGCCCTCGCGCACGTCAGAGACGCTTCCCTGAACCTTCCCGGACCCTCCCCGCAGGTGTCGACCGCCGCCCTCGCGCACGTCTACTTCGAGCGGCTCGTGCTGCGGCGCGTCGTCAACAAGGCGAACCGCAAGCTCGTCGCGGCCGTCTCGCTCTCGCTCGCCGCCAAGTGGAACGAGCCCGAGTCGCTCGGCACGCTCCTCGCCGCCGTCGAGCGCCACTACTCCATCCCTCGCGCCACCGTCTTCCGCTCCGAGTTCTCGGCCTACGCGGAGCTCGCCTTTGACCTGCGCCTCGAGCCGGGCGACATCTTCCCGCACTTCTCGCGCCTCCTCACGCAGGCGGAGCGGACGCCGCACGACTACCTCGGCGAGGCCAACTTTGCGGAGTTTCAAGCCGAGTTCCTCGAGCCGCCGGCGGATGACTGAGGGTGAGAAGGTGTCGAGTCTTTTTTGCTATTTTTCGTCTCAGTTTGGAGTTTGTGTCGTTTGTGTGTGTGTGGAGAAGTAGGTCGCCGGTTATACTTGGTCATGGTGTGCTGCTGATAGGGGTGCCTAACATTAATTTGGGGCCCGTAACAGTTGTAGAGGGCAGACGGCTTCGCGCCATGGAGGGAACGTTGGCTAGTTCCATTTCACTGTGGCACAGCTCGCGTTACAAAACCTTGATTTTGACCATTTGCGCACTATTGTACCTCTCGGTGCCTTCCAGAGGCAGCTGCGACCCCGCCGAGTGGACAGCGTCACACAGCAGGTGGCGCGGTGTGCCGCCGTCCACTCGGCAGGGTCGCAGCTGCCTCTGCGCGTCCTGGGTATGTACCTTTGTCGCGCGCCGGAGACGACTCGACGCCGCTGAGATCGGAGATCAAGCTCTGACAGGTCGCACGTCGCTCCTTTGACGCCGACGTGACTCACCCGTGCAGATCACATCAGGACACGGTCTCGACACGCTCGGTACGACGCCTGCGACCCGTCTTGGGTCAGGTGGCACGACGCTCATCGCGCCTACCAGCGCTGCCGTACAGGTTGCCACGACGAGGTCGAGCACGCTTCTATACGCTCGCCCAGCCTTCCTTCCCATCCCATTAGGCAGCCTGGGAACGGTGGCGGTCAGAGGCAAAGCCTGCGAGGGGCGGTGGAACCACATGTCGCGGCTACTGCCGGCTCGACCCCACGATAGCCTCCGGAGGCTGACTTTGCGGCACCATCATCGGACGATGTCGACGAGTTGGGTCGCTCTCGCGGTAGCCAGGTAGCCCTCCATACTAGTAGCACCAGCCATGGCCTCAGGGAGCGCGGGCGAGGGCGCTGGGAGCAATACGGACCAAAAAACATCTCAAAAGTCAATACATTATATGATATGGATTATGACACCAGTCACCACCCGTATTTGCATATTGCAACTAGTCCACAGCGCACAGGCGAATTGCGTCCCCCAAATCGTGGTCCTGAGCGGCTCCCACGACTCCCCCAACACCCGAAGGTGCACGACACGACCACTCGTTCGAACATTTGCGTCACAAATTTTTAATCCTGTGGGTTGTGTCACGTGTGGCCCAGCGGCCAAATTCACACCTCGCGGGACTACTTATGTTTTCGTAAACGTAGTCATGGCCCCCCGCTGCGTCGCACGAGTGTGCAACTGGGTAGCGGGGGGCTATCAGCTCGCGCCGTCGACACGGCACCTCCGGTTTGATCGCCCCTCAGTGGAACAAGAGGCCGGCGGGGCCTGGCCCAACATCCTGCACTTGGGCGATGGCGTGGACAATCGCGGTCACTTCCGACGAGAAGTCGATGCGAACGCTGTCCATGTCCGTGTCAGGACTGAAGGTGACGGTCATGGCGAGGCCGGAAGAGTGGGTGGCGCCCGAACCAGACAGATCGCCGATGCCGACTTGCTTCTTGTTCGCGTGGATGATCGCAGTGAGGCCGTTCTCGGCGGCGACGCTCTCGATCTCGCCGTCGGCAAAGGCGACCTCAACGGTGGTCCAGGGCGTGCTCGAGTACGCAAAGAGTTGCATCTTTTGCCCGTCCTTGCGTCCAACGATCGTACCGTGCGTGCTGGTGCTCGCGAGCGAGCGTCCCGGGCTGTCACCGGACCATTCGTTCGCCGTTGCGCGGCGTCGGCTATTCGGGTTGTTCAAGGCCCAGTACTGCGCCAAAAGAACGGCGTCTAGGAGGCGGACATCCCCATCGCCGTTAAAGTCACCCCCATTGCAAGGGGGGAGCTTTGTGACCCCCGGCGATGGGTTTGTAAACGATGATTGGTTAGCCCAGACCTGAGCTAAGAATGTGGCGTCAGCGAGACGAAATTCTCCATCAGCGTCGTAGTCAAGTTCATCGTCAGGGAGGCAGGAGGGCGCTCCGTCGCACGCCGCCGCCACGCCGCCAGGCGAGAGGCCGCCCACGTCGGCGCAAGTGATGCCGAGGCAGTCGTAGGTGCTCTCGAAGGCGGCCTTGACCGCCGCGAAGTCGGGGTAGTCGCCCTGGTCGTACAGGCCGAACTTCATCTCGTCGCTGATGGTCTTGGCAGCGGCGACGTTGCACTCGTGGACGAGGGGCAGCACGGCCGCCGTGAAGACGGCGCCCTCCGCCGCGTTCTTCTGCGACCGACCCGTACCCACGTCATCGTAGACCGGATCCGAGCCGACCTTGTACGCGTAGCGGAGCGAGCCCTGCACGAGCGGCACCGTCATCTGCTTGATGATCGTGTCGACGATGGGGCGCACGGCGGAGCAGTTGCCGTCCATGAGGTACGCCTCGCCCTTAGTGAAGTCCGCGAGCAGCTCCTTGTTGACGTTCGACAGCCCCGTGCTCCCCGACTCGCAGGTGTCAAAGTTGGCGCACCGCTTCTCCGCGAGCCGGTAAACCATCTTGCCGGCCGAGCTGCCACCCACGTTCGGCCCCTCGAGCGAGCCGGCGTAGAAGGCGACGCCCTCGTCCCACGCGTGCACCGCCTTGTACTGAGGGCTGTCCGGCCCGAACGAGTCCGACAACTCGTTGCAGTTCAGACCGTCCGCGCAGTTCTCGCAGTCGTCGATCGCGTCCTCAAACTCGCGGATCACGTACATCCACACGTTCATGTACGCCGTCCCCTTCTTGACCGCCTCGATCCGCGCGGCGTCGCCGAGCGTGGCGAAGTTGTTCGGGCCGTGCCGCCCGCTGCTGAAGGCCATGTTGGTGCCGTCGAGGGCGGCGCTCACCCACTGGTGCCCGCCATCGTCAGGTAGGGTGCCAGTCTTCGGGTCAATCTTGTAAGAGAAGACGACCTTGCACTTTGTGACGGGGGCATCGGTCGGGCGCTCCTCGAGCACCCATGTGCCATTGGCCTTCTTTGCGTTGTACTCCTTCAGAAGAGCAGCTCGCCACTCGTCTGGGCGCCCTTTGAGTTCAGCCACCTTCTTTGGCGTAGGATGAAGCGAGCAGAGTGCAGAGAGGTTGAGGCACATGAAGCCCTGGTCAGACTCGATGACGGGGACGAACCCAGGCTCGGCGCAGTTCAGCTCGACGCAGGAGAACGCTGGGACGGTCACGGGCCCTGGAATGGCTGGTTGGCGCGCAAGTCGTCGACCGGCCCTGTCAGTTGTAGGGATGGTGTCTCCATCGCGTCGCAAGATTTGCTCGATCCGAAGGTGAGGCTGAATGAGACCGATCCGCTCGAGGTATTCATTCTCATAGAAGGTGCAATCGTTGAAATTGAAAGTGGTGAACCGGCTCCACTCGGCCACATACCCATAGACGCCTCCGCGCTTGTGGTCGAGGCCGAGGTGCGTGGCGTCGACGGTAGGCATGTCGAGCTTTGAGCGTCCAGGGTCTGGAGCGTAGCGGAGTGGGCCCCGAGTTTGAAAAGGGCGACGGACGCTTGCGTCCTAGCCTCCAACAACGCCTCCCCGGCGCAGAGGGGCCCCCGGAGGGATGCACAACCGCTCCACGCCACGCCGCTTGCGGCGGTCCTCTTCCCAGCTCCGCTGAGGGCCCGTGCGTTATTTCTTCTCAATAACAAGGCTGTGAACAAGTCTCCACCGACACCGATGCTCCCGGTCAGCGTCGGCGTCGCGCTCGCCGCCGCCTCCACGTTGCGCTGGTCCTCGCTCGCCGTCGAGGCTGACGGGCAGCCGCTCCTGCAGCCGATGCACATTGAGGCTTCGCCCGGCCGGCTGCTCGGCATTCTGGGCCCTTCGGGCGCGGGCAAGAGCACGCTGCTCGGGGCGCTCGCCGGCCGTGCGCGGCCGCGGCTGCGCGTCTCGGGCTCTCGCGACGCAGCGGTCCCGCCGGGCGGCGAGGTCGGCGTGCTCGACCAGTCGGACGCCTTCTTCGGCCTGCTGACGGTGCGAGAGACGCTGGAGCTCACCGCGAGTCTGGAGGGGGCGGAGGCCGAAGAGGTCGACCTCCTCCTCGCCTCGCTCGGTATCGCGCCCGTGCAGCACTCGCGGGTCGGCGATTCGCTGCGCCGCGGCATCAGCGGCGGGGAGAAGCGGCGCCTCTCCCTCGGCTGCGCGCTGCTTGCGCACCCGCCGCTGCTCATCGCCGACGAGCCGACCACCGGACTTGACTCGCACCAGGCCGCGCGCGCCGTGCGGCTGCTTCGCGAGGCGGCGGCCTCGCGCGGCATCCCCGCCGTCGCCACGCTGCACCAGCCCCGCTCGAGCATCTGGGCGACAACGGCGGCGCCCTCCTCCTCCCAGGCACGGTCCATGAGCCCTGCCGCCCTTCTCTAGGCGATGCTCGACGACGTGCTCCTCCTCGCGCCGCGCGGCAGGCTCGTCTCCGATTGTATCATATTCTTACATATATTCTATTATCGCGCCTCGCGGCAGGCTCGTCTCCCATTGTATTATATTATCACATATGTTGTATGATCGCGCCGCGCGGCAGGCTCGTCTCCCATTGTATTATATTATCACATATGTTGTATGATCGCGCCGCGCGGCAGGCTCGTCTCCCATTGTATTATATTATCACATATGTTGTATGATCGCGCCGCGCGGCAGGCTCGTCTCCCATTGTATTATATTATCACATATGTTGTATGATCGCGCCGCGCGGCAGGCTCGTCTCCCATTGTATTATATTATCACATATGTTGTATGATCGCGCCGCGCGGCAGGCTCGTCTCCGATTGTATCATATTATCACATATGTTGTATGATCGCGCCGCGCGGCAGGCTCGTCTCCCATTGTATTATATTATCACATATGTTATATGATCGCGCCGCGCGGCAGGCTCGTCTCCCATTGTATTATATTATCACATATGTTATATGATCGCGCCGCGCGGCAGGCTCGTCTCCCATTGTATTATATTATCACATATGTTGTATGATCGCGCCGCGCGGCAGGCTCGTCTCCCATTGTATTATATTATCACATATGTTATATGATCGCGCCGCGCGGCAGGCTCGTCTCCCATTGTATTATATTATCACATATGTTGTATGATCGCGCCGCGCGGCAGGCTCGTCTCCCATTGTATTATATTATCACATATGTTGTATGATCGCGCCGCGCGGCAGGCTCGTCTCCGATTGTATTATATTATCACATATGTTGTATGATCGCGCCGCGCGGCAGGCTCGTCTCCGATTGTATCATATTATCACATATGTTGTATGATCGCGCCGCGCGGCAGGCTCGTCTCCCATTGTATTATATTATCACATATGTTATATGATCGCGCCGCGCGGCAGGCTCGTCTCCCATTGTATTATATTATCACATATGTTGTATGATCGCGCCGCGCGGCAGGCTCGTCTCCCATTGTATTATATTATCACATATGTTGTATGATCGCGCCGCGCGGCAGGCTCGTCTCCCATTGTATCATATTATCACATATATTATATGATCGCGCCGCGCGGCAGGCTCGTCTCCCATTGTATTATATTATCACATATGTTGTATGATCGCGCCGCGCGGCAGGCTCGTCTCCCATTGTATTATATTATCACATATGTTATATGATCGCGCCGCGCGGCAGGCTCGTCTCCCATTGTATTATATTATCACATATGTTGTATGATCGCGCCGCGCGGCAGGCTCGTCTCCCATTGTATTATATTATCACATATGTTATATGATCGCGCCGCGCGGCAGGCTCGTCTCCCATTGTATCATATTATCACATATGTTGTATGATCGCGCCGCGCGGCAGGCTCGTCTCCGATTGTATTATATTATCACATATGTTGTATGATCGCGCCGCGCGGCAGGCTCGTCTCCCATTGTATTATATTATCACATATGTTGTATGATCGCGCCGCGCGGCAGGCTCGTCTCCCATTGTATTATATTATCACATATGTTGTATGATCGCGCCGCGCGGCAGGCTCGTCTCCCATTGTATTATATTATCACATATGTTGTATGATCGCGCCGCGCGGCAGGCTCGTCTCCCATTGTATTATATTATCACATATGTTGTATGATCGCGCCGCGCGGCAGGCTCGTCTTCCTCGGCAAGAGAGAGGCGGCACTCGGCCACTTTGCGCGACTCGGCTACACCCGTGCCCCTCGCCAGCCGGCCAGCCCCAGCCCGACACCCGGACCCGGGCCCGAGCTTCTGCCCTAGGCCACCCCTGCCCGCACCACGTCAACCCGGCGGAGTTCCTCATCGACCTCGTCTCGGTCGACCACGACTCGCCCGCCGCCGCAGCCGCCGACGAGGCGCGCATCGACGCGCTCGCTCGCGCGTGGAGGCGGAGAGAGGGCGGCGGGAGGCAGGCAGAGGGCGGCGGGAGGCAGGCAGAGGGCGGCGGGCCGCGACCGCGACACCGGGCTACGGCGGCGGAGGGTGGCGGTGCCGGTGCCGGTGGCGCCGCCCCCGAGCGCAGGCGACGGCCGAGGCTGCTGCGGCGCCTGGCGCTGCTGCTGCGCCGCTCGTGGAGGCAGAACTGGCGCGATCGGTGGGTGAACGGGCTGCGGCTCTGCGTGTCTGGAGGGCTTGCCCTCGTCTTTGGCGAGATCTTCGGCCGCTTCGGTGCCCCTTCCGCCGCCCAGATCGCCGAGCGTGTGGCGCTGCTCTCCTACGCGTCCATCAACATGTCGATGATGGCGATGATGAAGGCACGGGACCTCTTCGGCAGAGAGCGACGAGTGGAACCTTCTAGGAACCTTCTAGGAACCTTCTAGGCACTGGACCTCTTCGGCAGAGAGCGCGTCGTCATCGACCGCGAGCGCGCGCTGTACGGCGCCGCAAAGCACAACCTCCTCGCAAGGATGGCGAGGTGGGCCGAGGCGAGCCGAGATGTGCCCGAGATTAGGCGCCGCCGAGTACTTGCTCGCAAAGATGGCGACCGAGCTCCCCCTCGACGCAGCCTTCGCCGGCGGCTTCGGCCTCCTCCTCCACTGGCGCATCGGGCTGCGGCTGCCGCGCACGACGCTCGTCGGCACCGCACCGCACCTCGTATCGCCCATGAGAGCCACCACCCCCTGTGACCACCCCCCGTGAGAGGAAGAGTAGACTTCCTTCCATCGCAATGTGTGTGTGTGGGGGGGGGAGGGGCCGGCCCTCGCGCGTACTGCAGGCACCCTCAGCCCGACCTGTAGGCACCCTCAGCCTGGCCGCCGCCACGTGCGCTGCGCTGGGGCTCGCCATCGGGGCTCTCGCCCCCTCGGCCGACTTGGCGCTCGCTGCGGGCATCCCGGTGATGATTGTGCACATGGCGCTCCGCGCCGCCCACCCCGCCCCGCGCACAAGTGTGCCCAGCATCTCTTCACGCGCTCTCGCGTGGGGGCAGGTGCTCGGCATTCTCAACCCCGCCGGCACGGCAGAGACCAAGCCCCCTTCGGCCGCCGTCTCGCTCGCCTCGCACGCGTCGCCGATCAAGTGGTCGATCCGAGCGCTCTGCTGCGCCGAGCTGCGCGGGATGGAACTCGAGCGGCGCGCTTTCATTTGAGGCGCGCGCGCACATGGTGCGAGATCACCCGAGCTGACCCGAGAGTCTAATCGAGGTTAGGCGCTCGCTCAAGGAGGCGCCCCGCATGGGAGGCCTCGCGCTCGTCCGCTCCGGCGACGAGGTGCTCGAGCGGCTTGGCCTGAGCGGCTCCAGCTGCCGGCAGTGCTGCGGCCGACTCGGGCGGCTGCTTGCCGCGGAGCTCGCTCTCGCGTACGTCGGCTTGCGGCTGCAACGACCCAAGTACACCAGCATGGCTCAAGCCAGAGCGGAGGAGGAGCGAGAGAGAGGTGGAGTGGATGGGGCGTAGAGAGAGGCGCGCAGTGATGAGTTAAATCCCGCATTTACTTTTGGGAAAGGGACTACATCTTCCCATATATCTCGTGCAGCGAATTCGCACACACTATCCACCTATCAGAGTATCAGCTATAGAGTATCACCCCACAATACGTCGTCTATCTGGAATCTGCGGTCTGCGCCTACCACCGCGCTACCCCGTTCTCTGGTAGGACGGGAACGAGATGATAGTAGGGAGTAGAAGAAAGCAAAGAGGAGCCCTGCGCACGCACGACTCCGCAGGAGAAGCCCCTCCCAGACAAAACACAAGGGAGAGGTGGGTGGGTCACAGAAAACTGCGGCCGCCAGCGACTGAGCGTCTCGCTGGCGGACGGGGAGAGGAACACAAAGGGACGTCCGGACGTCCATCCACTGGGATGAGAATACTGGAGATCTGAGGTCGAATCTGCCGATTCCACAGCCGCCCAAAGGAGCGCCGCCTCAACACGGGGTCTCGGCTCTACCGAGCCATGCTAGCTCCAGCCGCAGCCCCACCCGGCCGCCCGGGGGTGTTCCCGCAGGCAGAGAAGACCAATCCTGGGGGAAGTAACCCTACCCCACTAGCACTACGGGTAGCCCATTCACGCGCTCCGTAGCTAATCAAAAATACGGTATCCGCCGTCCGCCGATTAGTTTCGTACCACCTTCGTATATCAATTTGTCCGTGCCCGTCCTGCGCCGGCACTTCCTCGAGCGCCGCGACTGCAAGTCCGCCCACTTCTCCCGTTGCTCGGCAATGAGATCGAGCGCGGCCTTCGCCTTCTTGAGCCGCCCCTCCCAGTGCTCGCGCTCCTTAGCGGCCTCGTTCGTTTCGTGTCTTTTGGGATCTTTCATATTTTGTTCGAATCCTATGGATCCTGCCGGGTGCACCCGGACCCACCCGGAGGGGCCCGGGAAGGGTCTAGCGGCCCTCCAGCGGCCCCCAACGCCCCCCCCCGCGGCCCTGTTTTGGTAGTGTATCACATATGTTATGTCACTATCATACCCACGACCCAGGGTACCCGAGCGTTCCCGAGCAGCTACAAGGCGGAGCCGCTGGAGGGCCTGCGGCTCCAGTGGCACCCAGTCTCCCAGTCGCGCTCGAGGTACGGGAGGAGCTTCGCCTTGCAGCTGTAATACAGTTTCTCGAAGCGGGCTGCCCGATCCAAAAGAATGGCACACTTGTCCTCGTGGGCGAGCTGAATCCCGTAAACGTCCCGCATATCATCGAATTGCGCCTCGTTCAGGCCGGCGTCGATCATCCGACGGGTCACCCGACGTTCGAAGACGCTTTCCCGATCGCTGTCCGAAGACGCGTCGTCGGGACGGGAGTCGCTGGCAGGCAGGTCCTCGACCGCCGGCGCCTCCTCGACCGCGGGCTCCTCTGGCGTCGGCACGTCCTGCAACGTTTCTGGAACGACAGCGAGAAGCGCCTCTGCGCCCGCCTGCCGCCGCTTGCACTTGCCCAACTCCTTGTCCACGCCGCTCGCGTGCGTCTCGAGCCGCTTGCCGTACACGACCGCTGCTCGAGTCGCGCGCCCGCCAGCTCGCCGCGTAGGTCCCACACAAGGTACGCCAGCGCAGCCTTCTTCAGGTTCTTTATCTGGAGAGCCATCAGCGCGCCGCGCCGCTGCGACAAAAAGAGCGTGTTTACGGCAGCTTTCGCGGCGATGATGATGCCGTTGGTGACCTCGCCGACGATGCTGACCTCGTTGGAGGGTGCGGGGACGGGATGGTTGCCGAGGAGCATGGTCTCGAGGCGATTTAAGAGCGCGGTGGGCTCCAAGGCGAGCTGCGCCGAACTGGAGCGAGTCGGCCGCGCCCGAATTGCTGGCACCGCATCGGCGCCGGTCGAGTCCGACACGACCGCGGTCTTCTCCACCGGCTCGAGGTTCGCCATCCGCGGCGCTGCACCGCGGATTCGAACGGCTGCTCGCTCCTGCTCGGCGGCTGGCCAGTCAGCAGGGCGCTTCGAGAGGGCGGTCGCCGTCGGTGCACATCGACGATCATGGCGAGCGAGCAGCCCCGCAGTGAGTGGATGCAGCCCACCGGAGGTACTGTCTGAGGTGGGGCCCGGCGCGTGAGGCTCGTTGGCGTCCGCCATCACCGCCTGCGGCCACTGTAGAGTCGGCCAAACCAGGCTCGATTTTGGCCATTTTGGCGCGGCCCTTGCGGACTCTTCACAGCTGGGTCCCGGTGCACCCGGTGGCACTCCCCACGCCGGAGCGGGAGCGGGTGCGGGTCTACTGTGCATCGTCACACAAGATACTCTACCAAGTCGGATACAAGTCGATGACAATGTGCGCGGCAGGACAAACCAAACATGAGACGGTTACACAAGGACGGTCAGGCTACGGTCAGGAAGTAGGTTTGAGTTCACACTCTCCAACACTCCCCCATTGTCTCCGCAGTCTTCATGAATGAGGATGCGGCAGACAACAACTGCAGCGTGTGAATGTGTCGGAGCGTAGGTATGCCGGTTACCCGCCGGCGTCTCGCGGGGCTGGCTAAGCGTCCAACCTTGCGTCTTCGCGAAGGATGGTCTCGCTTGTTAGCAAGACTTGCGCGCTAAGATGATCCAGTGAAGGGGTCAAAGCGCGGCCGAGTGGGTGGAGAGAGAGAAAAGGGGAGATAATGAACAGGAGCTCGTTGTGGAGCTCGGTCATGGCGCGCCGCGAGCTGCAATCCGGGCTGAGCGTCGCGGGGCGGCGGCTTGAGCGGGCGCGGCAGGCGCGGCGGGCGCGGGAGCGGGGGCGGGGGCGCCCCCTTGCGGCGCGGCGATTGGGCCGTTGGGAGGCCTCGCTGCGTTACCAGAGAACGCGATTTGTGGTGAACGTGTCGTTGCGCGTGTAGGAATTAGGTTGAGGAGGGAAACTGCATAATTCCTATAGTATCGGTAGCACGCTAACGGCACACAATTCTATACCCGAGGTCACAGTTGTCAGGTCACAGCAAGATACCCCAGACAGAGGAAACCCAAACCGGGCCGCCGGGGACGAGAAGCAGAAGGCTACTCTAACTCGCCGGCGCCTACTCCGAGCTCGGCATGGTGCGCTGCTTTTCGGCAAGGAGCTTCTTCCTCGCCGCACAAGCCTGCGCGCAAGTGTTGCTCATGTAGACGGGATTCTTCTCGCACTCTCCCGAGTCGGACCAGCCCTTGCAGCGCTTGTCCTCCTTCCCGGACTCCTCCGAGACCGCCGCTGGCGCCGCCTTCGCCGCATTTGCCGCCGGCTCGGGCGAGGCTGATCCCTGCGACGCCGCTTCCTGCCCCGGCTCCGCCACCTCCGCCACCTTCTCTGCGGCGGGCGTTGCCTGCGGCTTGCCCCTCCCCAGCTCCGCGCATGCGTCCGCGCAATGGTGGTGCATGAAGCCTGGGTTCTTTTCGCACTCGCCGCCCCTCGCCCACGCTGCGCACCGCCGGTCAGGCTTCTGGTCCGCCTTCTGGGGCTCCGCCGCCTCCGCAGCTCCGGCGGCCGCCGCCGCTCGGCCCGTCTTCGCCGCCTCCGCTTCAATCGCCTGCGCCGCAGCCTCCGCCCGCGCAGCCTCCGCCCGAGCCGCCTCCGCCCGAGCCGCCTCCGCTCGCGCAGCCTCCGCCCGCGCCGCCTCCGCCCGCGCCGAATCGCCAGGACTCTGTCCGTCCTCCTCGTCGTCGTCATCGTCCTCCTCCTCCATCGCTTGCTGCAGCGCCGCCTGCCGCGCCGCCTCAAGCTCGCGGATCTCCTCGTGCTCCTCCTCCTCGCCGTAGCCTGCCGCTCGCCTTGTTGTGGCGCGCGCGGCGCAAGCTCGCCCGCAGTGCGCAAGCATGAACGGGCGGTTGCTCTCGCACTCGCCTCGCGACGCCCACCCCGGGCAGCGCTCGTCCTCCGTCCCGGACTTCTCCGACGGCGCGTTCGCTGCCGCGGCGGTCGACGCCTTCGCTGGCGAAGATGCCTTTGCTGCTGCAGCCGCCGCTGGCGTCGGAGCGGCCTTCGGGGTTGCCTTGGCGCCCGCGGCTGCCGCCGCCGCCGTCGCGGCTCCCTTTGCCACCGCCGGCTGGGAGTTGGAGGCCCTCATATCTGCGCACGTCGCGGCGCAGTGCGACGCCATGAAGTCGGGGTTCCTGTCGCACTCGCCCGCGTTTGCCCACTTGACGCATCTGCCGGCGTCTACGCCGGCCGCGACCTCCGCCGCCGCCTGCTTCGCCGCCAGCGATCGTCCCGATGCTTTCCTCCCGGCTCGCTCTCCCGCCAACCGCCTCCTCGCTGCGTCGCGTGCGCCTCCCTCTGGAGCGCCTCCCGCGCTAGCCCGACGCGCCTCCTCGGGGCTGATGGCCCTGAGCCTGAAGCCCTGCCAGTAGAAGAAGCAGCTGGCGCCTCCCACGAGGGCGGCAAAAAGCAGCACGCGTGCCAGTGTGCACCGCCGGGCGGGCCCCTGGCCCTTCTTGTCGCCGTCCCGAAGCCGCTGGCCAGGCGACTCCGGATCAAAGTCCTCCTGGACAGCCCGAGAAGAGCCCGTCCGTCGGTACACGAGGCTGTCCGATCGAGACCGGTGTGGGTTGCCGTTGTCGTTGAAGTGCGCCGACATCCAGGAACGGGCTCGCCGAGACCTTTGGCCGAGTTTTGGCGAAATAAGAATTTAGACCCGTCCTCACCGCAGACAGGCTCGTTCAGGGCGGCTCGCACAGCGCCCGCAGACACACACACACACACACACACACACACACACACACACACACACACACACACACACACACACACACACACACACACACACACACACACACACACGCAAGGGCGAGGACACGCGCAGGGGCCGCACCTCTAGCGAAGCCCACAGAGTGGGAGACTCCTATCACCGCCCTGCCACCCACGTGAGCCTTTTGGCCGCCTCTGTCAGTGTGCCCGTGGTAGTGAGAGACTGCTGGTGAGAAGCCGGAGGAAGGTCGCTAGTCGAGAGAGATCGCCAGTGGAATAGGGAGTCCACCGTGCTGCGAGCCTGTCGCTGTCCCTTGTCAGGAGCAGGAGAACTAGGAGAGCGCAACCAGTAGGAGGCCCGCGCCTGCCCCCGTGCCGCCGGGTGCAACCTGTCCTATACGAGAGAGGAATCCCTGGGACCCTGTCGTGTGGGTGAACCCTGCCCAGCCCCCCTCCGTGTCGCGATGCGCTCCCCGCTCCCGTTCCCCTGTGTCCCTGATCGTCCTTCCAAGATCCTGCTCGTGCAGGTGGGGACCCTGTCCCTCTCCCACCCCTCGTTTGGCGTGCCCGTTTTATTTATTTATAGGCTCGACACAGGTGCGAAAATAAGAATTTTATTCTCCAAGAAAGACACTATCAAGATAGTCCTCCCATCCCTCCCTCAACTGCTCCCTCTGCAAGATGCGAGGACACAGGGCCTTCAAAACTCCTCAGAATGGCAAGATGTCGATTCCCGAGGAGCGGTTCATCAGCTGCTTGAACCACCCCAACTACGGGCAAGTTTGGACGAGCGGCATGGGTCCGGCGCCGCCGATTCCTGTGGGCAAGGGCAAGGGCAAGGGCAAGGGCAAGGGCAAGGGCAAGGTCCACGCCTAGCCCGACATGTCCTTCTCGACCTTCTCTACGACCTCCCCGGGACCATGATCCTCAGGCGTCCGATGATGCGGAGGTTGCAGACGCGGTGCAGGCGTCTATCAGGTCGAACTTCCTGGAAGACGTGCTCCCGATGCCCCCATCCCCGAGCGCGTTGATGGGCCGCGCGCGTGAGCTCGTCGTGCGCGGCTCTGTGGATCTCGAGGCCGTGCTGCGTGGGCGCAAGTAGTCGAGTGTGTAGTGTGTTGCGTGGCCGCTTCTCTTCGACCTTCTCGGGACCGTGACCTTCTCGGGTGTGATGGCCATACAACATGTCACACGAGGTGAAACGGTGTTCCCTCCTCCTTTCCTTTCTTCAGACGTCTGTGTTAGTGTGTGGATCTCGATGGTTGCAACTGAAAAGACCTCCAAGCCCGCCCTCCCCCTACTATTTTACAAATCAACTCCCTCGCACGACACTCGAGGTGCACGCGCCAGAAAAACGGTATGGCGGGTGGAGTGCTCTCTACTGCCGCGGCCTGTCGGTTCGGAGGCGCCCCGCGGCCGCGCGCTTGGTGCCGACGTCGACCGGCTGCTCTCGCGGCGCCGAGACGTGCCGCTTTGGTCACCTTTCGCGCGCTGCGAGGTGTCTTTTGGCATGTGAGCGCTGGCAGGAAACGCCAAGAAGCTGGTCTTCCATGTCTGCGGCCGCGGGCGTGCGGGCGGGCTCGCCGGTTCGCCTGCGGCAGGCCCGCGTGGCGAGACGCGTGTCGGGAACGTGCTCAGCAGGCTGTGCAGCGCAGCCTGACTCACTCAGAGCGCCGCTGATGCGGCGTGGGGCCGCCGGCGGCACTGCTGCCGCGCACGCTGCGCTGTGGGCGTCACCATCGTGTACTCGCCGCGTCGCCGACGCCACTTGCGGCTCGCGGCTGCCCTGCCCTTCCCTGCAATCGCGCAAACAAACACACACACACACACGCACACACACACACATTACAAACAAACACATTATTAATGATCGAGTATTGGGCGGCGGCGCGGCGCGGTCTTACACCGCCCTTCCTTGCAGCGAGCCCCCCCCCAACCCACCCGCGCTAGGTCTCGGGTTTGACGCATGGGGTCACTCCCGCGAAACCCGTGAACCCTACTCGAGTAGCCGGGGCAGTTGTAGGAACCGATTGTGTTCACTAGCAGTCAGTAATTAGCTGAGTGGTGTCTTGTAGGACCCGACCGATTGTGTTCACTAGCAGCGGGCTTGTCTGTTTGTTTATTAATGACAACGCGCACACACACTCTCCCAATATCATGTCCATGTGACATGTGCCATGGGGCTGGAGGCAGTAGGCAGTAGGTAGGGTGGCAGAGGGTGGTGCGCGCTGGCGCGCGAGCTTTCCCAGAGCAACAGTCGGAGAAGGGGCAACTCCGTGCACGACGGTCGGCCGTCAGAAAACACGCCTCAGCCGAGCGTGGACGCCAGACACTGTGGACGAGACACTTGACCGCGCAGCGGCCGCTCCACTGCGCAACCTTCGTCCGGCATGGCGGCCGCCGCGCTATGCGACGGCGACGTCAAGATGGTCATCTGGGATCTGGACGGCACACTGTGGCGCGGCACGCTCGACGAGGCCGACGCTGACGATGACCTTGCCGACGGCTCTCTCGCGCCGCTCATTCGTCTGCTCGCTCAGCGAGGCATCGTGTCGTCGGTCTGCTCGTTCAACGACGAGGAGCGCGCTTGTGCGGCGCTGCAGCGGCTCGGCGTGTGGGAACTCATCGTCTTTCCCGCAATCTCGTTCGACTCGGCCTTCTCCAAGCCCGCCGCCATCCGCGCCACGCTCTCCGCGGCCGGGCTGTCTCCCGCCAACGCGCTCTTCTGCGACGACGAGCCGCGGCACCGTGCGGCAGCCGCCGCCGCGCTGCCCGGCCTGCTGACGTGCGCTCCTTCGCTCCTCCCGCCAGAGTCGGCCCTGAGACGGTGCGGCAGCGCCGACCCGGGCTGCTCCCGGCTGCAAAAGTACCGCCTGCTCGAGGCGCGGCGGCGGGCAGAGGCGGCGGCCGTGTCGCAGGCCGGGGCGGGTGACGCCGCTGCGCAGCGATTCCTCGACAGCTGCGAGGTGGTTGTGCGGCTGAGGCCGCTGCGGGGCGCGAGCGACGAGGCAGCTCGACGGACGGAGGGGAGTCACCCTTACCACGAGTAGCCCGCGACACGTCGACGGCGCTCCTATAGGACCTCGTCCGGCTCGTGGCGCTGACGCAGTTTCCTGGAACCTTCCTGGAACCTTCCTGGAGCCTTCCTCCTAGGACCTCGACCGGCTCGTGGCGCTGACGCAGCGGACGAACCGGCTCAACTACACGCGGCGGAGGCGAGGCTGCCGCTGGGGGCGGACCACCCTGCACCTTCCCGGAGCCTGCACGGAGCCTTCCGTAGCATGCCCGCAGGCGGGGCTGGTACTGGGAGCTGCTCGAGCGCGACACGGACCTACTCGCGCCAGACCGCGCGGGAGGCGGGCGGGGCGGCGGGCTCGAGAGCTTCACGTGGAAGGTGTACGTGTCGGACAGGTTCGGAGAGCACGGCCTGGCGGGACTCGTGGCCGTCCGGCGCGGCGCGCTGCGCCACTTTCTTTTTTCGTGCCGCCTGCTCGGGCTCCACGTCGAGGACGCCTGAGATATGGGGAGATGTGGGGAGATGTGGGGAGATGTGGGGAGATATGGGGAGATACGACCTGCTCGGGCTCCGCGTCGAGGACACCGCCCGCCAAACAGCGCCTCCGTATCGCCGCCCTCTTGTCATCTGCCTCGACCCGCTCCCATCAGGCCGCCGTCTACCAGCGCCTCCTCGCCTCACACGCGCTCCTCCCTCCGCCCGCCGGCGCGTTGCCGCCGCAGCAGCACGAGGCGCTGCTGCGGCAGCGAGCGAGCCATGTGAAGGTCGAGCTCGAGGACGTGTCGAGGACGTGTCGTGGACGTGTGCCGGGGGAGGAGGCGGCCGAGCCCATGGCGGCGGGCTGCGGGGGGGCCGATTTTGCGGGGGGGGCGCCGCCGCGCGCACTCGCGTGTGGCTACTGCAGCCTCGCGCCGCTCGGCAGCCTGCTCGAGGGTCGCGGCTGGGCGGTTGAGATGGCGAGCGGCGAGCATGAGATGTGGGGAGATGTGGGGAGATATGGGGAGATGGCGAGCGGCGAGCATGAGCCCCCCCCCCCCCCCCCGATGTGCGTCGGATGAAGGAAGGCGTGATCAGCCGGCCATCCCTTGGTCAGGCGAGCGACGAGTACGAGCGCTTCGCCGTCGGCTCGCTGCTCGCCCTTCGCCAGTACTGCTCCTCGCCCGCTGCCGCCGCCGCGATTGAGCGCGAGGTGGAGGCTGCCGCTGCGAGGGCGGCAGAGGAGGCGGGGGAGGAGGCAGAGGAGGTGGGGGAGGAGGCAGCGGCGGCGGAGGCGGCGGCGGAGGAGGCGGAGGAGGTGGGGGAGACAGGCGAGGAGGCGGGTGAGAAGGCGGCGAGGGAGGAGGCGAGGGAGGCAGGGGAGGAGGGACTTGCGGCTGCGGCGCGGTCGTCTCGCCTCTTCGAGCGCGAGCAGGGTGCGATGCGCGGCGGGCAGTACGACGTGGTCGTGTGGGACCTGGAGCGTGAGCTTCTGTGGCCCGTCGCCACTTGCAGCGGCGGCGGCGGCGGCGGCGGTAGCGACGGCGGCGATGGCGGCGGCACGCTGCTGCTACCGGTCGATCTGCAGCACGCGCTGCCTCGCTGCCGTTGCCCTCTGGTAGCGGCGTGGGCTGAGCTGTGGAGAGTCAGCCACGGCACCCCCCGCAGAGAGGAGCTCACGGACGCGCGGCTGCTGAGCGGCGTCGAGGTGGCGGCGCAGATCCGCTGGCTGCGCAGCGCCCTCCCGGCGGAGACGTCGCTGCTGTTGCTCGACGTGCCACCTGTTTGGGAGGACGGGTCGCCCACCCACTCTCCGGGCTGGCAGCGCACACTCGCCGCCTTCCCCGCGTCGCTGCGGCGCGGCCTCGAGCAACGCGTCGCTTGCGCCTCCGTTGAGGTTGGGCGCGTGGTGGAGGAGCTGCCCAACACGGCCCTCGTGCGGCGCGCGGCGGCGCTGCGGGAAGGCGACTTGCTCGAGTGGGTGCACACCACCCGCAGGGCGGCCGCCGAGACGGCGGCGGCGGTGGTGCACGCCTATGCCGATGCTCGCGCGTGCTCGCGCTGCTCAGGCGAGAGAGACGCTGCTGGCTGCTTCGGAGAGGACTCGGACGGAGACATCGACGTCCCCCGCCGCCGCCCCCGCCGCCCGAGGCCGGACGAGCCGCCTCGGAGGTCGCCCGTGCCCAAGGCGGCACGGCCGGAGGCGCCGCCTTGGGCTCTCTTGGACGGCGTCTTCACGCCGTCGGAGCTCGCGCGCGTGATCGCTCTCTGCGAGCAGCTCGACCGTTCGGCAGTCAGGGACCCCGAGATCGCCGGCTTCAAGCTGGCGACGACGAGCGTGGTCCACTACTCCGTCTCTGCCGACGGCGCGCCGTCGTTTGCCGGCGACGAGCCGCCGGACCCGCTCCTCGACACTGGCTGGCTGTTCCGCCCGCTCGTGGCGGCGTTGCGGCGCGGAGACGCTGCGCTGGGCGGGGCCCTGCCTCTGAGAGCTTTTTGCACGTCGGTGCAGTACAACCGGTACGACGGAGGCGACCACTTTGAGCATTTCCACGTGGACGAGGTGGAGTGCGAGACGGCGTACAAGTCGCTCTCGCTCGTGCTCTTCCTGAGCCGGCCCGACGAGTACGGAGGCGGCGAATTCGAGCTGAGGAGGGGCGAGGGCGGGCAGGTGACGGCGCTGCGCCCGGACGCCAACAGCGCCGCGGTCTTTTGCGCGCGCGAGGTCTTCCACCGCGTGCGGCGCGTCACGCGCGGCGCGCGGCGGACGCTGGTGCTGTGGGCGTGTGCCACCCGCGCGAGCGCGGTGTGCGACGGCCCCGCCGAGCCTTGCGTGGCGTTTGGTCGGATTGGTGCCTCGCCGTTTCTTTAGCCATTTGCGGTGTGAATGGGTTCTATGAATGCAGGGCGGGGGGGGGCACGCTCTGTCGTCGCTGCGCGGAGGCTCGGCGGAGGTCGCCGGACACGCACGACACGCGACAGCGGCGACACCATGGGCGACACGCTGCGCGGTCAGTCGACACATCTTCTCACATGAGTCATGACAGGTCGCAGGGAAGGGGCCAAAGTAAAGTGGAAACATGCTAGGGGGCTCCTAACTGCAGAACGCCACAGTCTACTCGGAGCTAAAGAACCCACCCACCACACGCGTGTGCATGTGCATGAGATGTGCATGTGCAGGTGCATGGAATTTTTTGACGAGCGACTTGGATGCGCGAAAGATAAGTGCAAAGTGGTGGCTGTGACCTGTGACGGTGGTGCGGAGCCGTGTTGTCAGGGCGCAGGAGAGCTCGGATCACTGTCAGTGTGTCGGTGCTCAGCAGCGCCTCGGCCTTGCAGTGTCTCGCGCTCACTCTCTCGCAATCGAGTAACACGCTGTTCATCTCTTCACGGACGTTTTGATCTATCGCCAAAGCCGTTGCTGCTCTTTCGTTTGCAGGTCCATCAATCCATAAGTAGTACAAGACAACTCGTTTTACGGTTGGCATGCCTGAACGCCGGGCGTCTCGCCGCCCGGACAGCGCAGGTCAATAATGTTCTTCTCCTGAGGCTCAGATACAGAGTCTGGGAGAATGGCACAGAGCGCAACCACACAGGGAAAGAAAAGGAGGTAAGCCGACTGGTTGAAGGTCGGGCAGAAGCCCAGCCCGTCAGAAGCCTTGACTTTGCCCTGCTGCGCGCGCCACCTCGACGGCGTTCTCGGCGAGGTACTTTCGTACATCTACGTCCGTTTACCCACATCTACGTCCGTTTACTTGGAGCACTTGGAGTGCAGTCGCACATCCAGGGCCGGGGAGCTGAGAAGCGCACCCAGCGGGCCGGGTGATTGGCATCGGGTTGCGGGCAAGAGAGCCCTAGCCCTGGGGGGTGCGCGTTCGCAGGGCCATAACACGGGTCTCCGAGGGATAGTACCGCGCTCCGGGTTTCCCCTAGCAGCAGAACGCACCCTCTACTCGGAGCTAGTAATACGAGAATACTCTCCGAGGGTTAGCCCCGCGTACCAGGTTTTCCCTTAACTGCAGCACGGGAAAACACATTTTTGGGCAAGGCGTCTATTCGATGCTCTGCACCGTTAGCTGTCCGGGAGGCGTCCGGGAGGCACCTCCCGGACATCAAATGGGGCCGCCTGGTGGCCTCCGAGCGCCAGCCGAAGCAACCCTCGTCGTGCCCCGACACCCCCCCGACTCATGCTGTGCCGCTCTTGCCTGTGTGGCCGCTGACGGCGGGGCCCCGTGCGCGGCTGCGCCGAAAACTCGTGACTGCCGTCGTCACACCTGTCCACAGATGCGACGGGTGCCTGTCCGACCGCGACAAACAGGCCTCGTAGCGGATCGCCAGCCCGCCCTTTGCCTCCGCAGACGCCTAGCCGAATCGTCGTTACCTTCCGCAGACCGAGACTTCCGAGCGGGCGCGTTCTATAGATGACGGTCACGCCCAACTCACCAGCCTTGTGGCCTGAAACCGATTCTGAGCCCTGCCTCCCCCGAGCGGGTATGGCCGCTGCCCGGCGGCCCGCGGTACGATTCGGTCCCGCCACCTCCCCGCCGTCCCGGTTCCCGCAGGTGAATTATTGCGATTTCGCCACCCTCCTCGCCGCCGTCTCCGCCACTGTCGCCTCCGCGCTCTCCTCCGCCGTCGCCGCCGCCCTCGCCTCCACCGGAAGCTCCGCCACCCTCCCCGCGGCCTTCTCCACCGCCCTCTCCGCCGCTCTCTCCTCCGCCGTCGCCGCCGCCCTCGCCGCTGCCGTTGCCGCCGCACTCCTCCCCGCTGCCGCCAAGCATGATCGGCCTCACCCTCCCCGCCGCGCCGTCGGTCTCGCCGTCGCCGCCGCTCTCTCCGCCGCCGTCGCCGCCGCCCTCACCGCTGCCGTTGCCGCCGCACTCCTCCCCGCTGCCGCCGTCGGCCTCACCCTCCCCGCCGTGCCGTCGGTCTCGCCGACGCGTCGCCTTCTTCCGTGTCGCTGTCGCCGCTCCGCCGTCCGTGTCGCCGTCGCCGCCTCGGATCTGTGGCGGCGACGGCGACGGCAAGCGAGCTTGCTGCGGGGAGGGCGAGACGGAGGAAGGCAGCGGCGACGGCGACACGGACGGAGGCGGCGACGGCGACACGGACGGAGGCGGCGACGGCGACACGGACGGAGGCGGCGAAGTCGACACGACCGGCGGCGGCGGGGAGAGCGATTCCAACGGCGGCGGCGGCGACGGCGACAAGGACAGAGGCGGCGAAAGCGAGACCGACGGCGGCGACGGCGACGGCGACATGGATTGAGGCGGCAAAGGTGAGATCGGCGGCGGGGAGGGCGAAACGGAGGAAGGCAGCGGCGTCGGCGGCACGGACGGAGGGCGAAGGCGACCCGGATCGGTCTCGCTTTCGCCGCCTCCGTCCGAGTCGCCGTCGCCGCCTCCGCCGTCGGATTCGCCTTTGTCGCCTGCTCCGTCCGTGTCGCCCTCGCCGCCGTCACGATTCGGCATACACACAGTTTGCACATCTGCAAGTTCTTCTTGATGTACACGGCGGTGCAGCCCCTGGCAATTAGCGGGCAGCTCAAGGCATCGACGCTCTCGCCGAAGCCCCTGTGCCCGGCACTTGCCGCCGTTTTATTCGGCGCAATGGCCGGCGTTGAAGCTCCGAACCCAGGCGCAGCCGAGCCCGTTCAGAGACAACACCAACAACCTCTTTCACTCATTCTTAAAACAGTACCGGCCGGGATTTCGAAGATAGTGCTAAAATGGATACCTGGAGAATGGCATTTAATTTCGCGGACCGGCTCTTTTAACAATCAGGTCATGTCACCGCTTAATGTGCATGTGCGTGGCCTACGTCAGAGACCAAGTGACCAGCCGTCCCGGGCAATTTGTGACCCGTCTACGCCCCCTCGCGCCTCGGGCGCGGCCGGCCGCCGCCGGCCTGCCCCGTTGACTTCCCCGCCGCGCTAGGCGTTCGTTCGCAGTAATCTGGCTTAGTTCAGAGAGGTCGGGTCGTCTCTATGCGTATCACAGCGCGGCGCTGGCCTGCGCATGGCGGGCATGTGGTCGAATCAGTCAATCATCCCGACATTTGATGTTAGTTAGTGCCAAAACCGCGGAACCGAAAATGGCGTTTAATTTTGCGCACCTGCTGTCCGCCGCCTGCGGCGGCGCTGCGCGCCGCCTACGCGCGCTGCGCGCGCTTTTTTTCTCTCTTTTTCTGTCTTTTTCACAGTGTAATTTTACCAAAAAAATGCCATTTTTTGACGACGAGGCGTCACAAGTCATCATGGTCGGCGCGACGGCGACTCAAATGCCCAGATCCTCTAACCACCCTGGCGCGCCCGTCGGCGTGCGCGATAGTTCTCGGCAAGCGTCATCGTCCACCCGAAGCAGCTCGCTCGTGCCGGAGCAGCTGACTCAGCTGACCAACGTCATCGCGAAGCCCACCACCGCGGCCGTGGCGCAGCAAATTCCCTTTCTCCCTTCGTTCGATCATGCTGGCTCTTTCTATGCTGGCTCCAGCATAGACCAGCCGTGGAGCGCCGAGGAGGACGCCCTCCTGCACAGCTTCGTCCAAACGCTCGGCCACCAGTGGAAGAAGATCGCCGAGCTGCTGCCCGGCCGCTCGAAGAGCTCGACCAGAAACCGCTGGATCCGCATCGGCAAGGCGGCCTTTAAGGCGGCTGGCAGCGCTAGACCAAGCAGCCAGGGCTACCTGTGCCGCCGCTGCGGGCTTCCGAAGAAGGGCCACCACTGCGGAGTGCCGGCAGAGGAGCAGCCCGTGCTTCCGTCGAGCGCCCCTGTGCCGCTAGGCTTCGACCTGCCCAGGCGGAGGTCGGTGTCGGATGCGGCGGCCTCGCTCGCTGCGGAGGCTCCACCGAGGATTGTCCTCCCCGTCGTCATGGCCCAGCCCCTCGGCGTTTATATGCCCGACTCGCCGCTGACCGGCGGGCCCTCGGTCGACTCGGTCGAGCGCAGCTTCCTGTCGGAGCTGCAGGCGTCGCTAGAGCCAGCGGAGCAGCCCGCCGCCGCGGCGTCACCCCTATTCGCGGCGGGAGTGTGCCTTGCGGCGGCGGCTCCGGCCGCGGCACCCACGCAGCCTGCGGCGGATCCGACATCTGTGTATCTAAGTCTCGACATACTCGCAGAAGAGAGCGAGGCCGCGGCACAGGCTCTGGCGAGGCGAGTGCCGGTGGTATGGGCAGATAAGGCGGCCCCCGCGGCCGACGCGAGGAAGGGGCAGGGGCCTCTCTAGGAGGAGGAGGAGTTCATGGGGCCGGTTTACTGCATTTGAATTTTTCATTTTGATCAGTGGAGGTGGACCCCCGCCCCCCCCCCCCCCCCGGACCTGGCCTATTCAGCCACCGCCTCCGTCGACCAAGGCGTCGCCGCCGTACCGGGCTTCACAGCCTCCCCCCCCGACGCCGCACCATCTCCATCGGCCGGCCACCACTCCCCCACGACTACCCCGGCGGCCTTGCACGGAACGCGGCGAGGGGCAACTGGACTCGCCTCGTCCTCGGTCGCCTCATCCTCCTCTCCCGCCTCCGCCATCACCTCGTCTCGTGGCGCCGCCTCCTCCGCCTTATCTCCCGCCACCTCCACCCCCTCCTCCATCGCCTCGGGCGCAGAGGCCTCCCCTGCCCCCACCGTCTCCCCCTCCCCCCTCGGCCACGGCTCGCATGCCGTGGCCTCGCTCTCTGCTGCGAGCATGCCGAGGCTCAGAAAAGCGTCCACCCAAGCATGCGCGCGCGGGGCATGCGCGGGCGCCCCCACGGCGGTCGACGCGGCCGGAGCCGCAAAGCACGCCGGCGTCGGCGCAACCCCGGCCAACCCCGTGCCGCCGCTCGTGCTCGCCCAAACGCCCTGCTGGACGGGTATAGCGACCACCGCCGGGCGGGCAGGCGCGAGGAAGTGAGAGCTATCGAACGACGTCTGCACGCCGACCGGATGCTGCCCGCCGGTGCCGGTGCCGGTCTGCCGCTGCGAGTTGAACATCGGCAGCATGCTCTCCTCGATCTCCGCCGGGAGCGAGGAGAGGCTGCCCGCTGCCGCCTCGCGCAGGCCGCCGTTGCCGAACAAGTTGAACAAGGCCGCCGGGCACGGGAAATATATTCGGAACGGCGTGGAGGCCGCCGGGCACCGGAACGGGAGGGGTGCATATGGGATGGAGGGGCTGGCCCATTGCCATGGGCGCCTGCTGCATCGCCTGCCGCCGCGAAGCGATTGAGACCGCCGCATCCGACACCGACCTCCGCCTGGGCAGGTCGGAGAGCGGCGATGTGGGTCCGCTTGGAGCCACGGGCTGCTCCTCTGCCGGCACTCCGCACTTGTGGCCCTTCTTCGGAAGCCCGCAGCGGCGGCACAGGTAGCCCTGGCTGCTTGGCCTAGCGCTGCCAGCCGCCTTAAAGGCCGCCTTGCCGATGCGGGTCCAGCGGTTTCTGGTCGAGCTCTTCGAGCGGCCGGGCAGCAGCTCGGCGATCTTCTTCCACTGATGGCCGAGCGTTTGGACGAGATGGTGCAGGAGGGCGTCCTCCTCGGCGCTCCACGGCACCTGCGGGGTGGATAGGGGTCAGATCTTGTGGATTGAAGGTTGCCTAATACTGAACGGCACCTGCGAGTCGCCGCGCCTCGCGGCCTCGCCGCTCGCTGGAATCGAGCAGCTGGAGTCGCTCGACTGCGCCTCGAGCAGCGGAGGGCGAGGAAAGTGAGGCCGCGCCTCGGAGCTTTTCGTCGACTGAGAAAGCTGGACCTCCATTGCCGTCGCTGAGACTGTGCCACGACAACCGGCGGATACAAAAGCGAGCAAGAGCGCAGGTGGGTCCGCTCCTCAGCTCCCCGGCCCTGGATGTGAGGTTGATGACTGCACTCCAAGTGCTCCAAGTGCTCCAACAGGTAGCAAGCACCCCCCCCAAAAAGTCAAGGATTCGCTCCGAGTTCGAGCTCCGAGTAGAGGGGGCGCCCCGCAGCTAGGGGAAACCCAAAGCGCGGACTAACCCTCGGAGAGTATTCTTGTATTACTAGCTCCGAGTAGAGGGGGCGCTCCGCAGCTAGGGGAAACCCGGAGCGCAGAACCAACCCTCGGAGACCCGTGTTATGGCCCTGCGACCGCGCACCCCCCAGGGCTAGGGCTCTCTTGCCCGCAACCCGATGCCAATCGTCCGGCCCGCTGGGTGCGCTTCTCAGCTCCCCGGCCCTAGATATGCAGGTTTATTAGACTGAGCGGTCGTTTCTCGTGAAAATGTGTGTGCGGTGGCCGGTGGGGCCTGGGGCGGTGCCGGGGGGGCGGGTCTCAAATGAGAAATGTTCATGTGTGTTGAGTTGAGTTGTGTTGGCGCTGGGGGGCGAGTCTCCACACATTTTCCGTACGCTGCACACACGACGCGTCAACAAAAGAGGCGCGCGCCCCGCCTTACGATCCATCGAACACCGTATGCAGCACGGCAGAAGCTTCCGCCACGTAAAAGTCGCATCACAATGCGTTTGCCGGTGCCGCCGTCAGTGCTTCTTCTTCTTCTGCTTGTCCGACTTGAAGGCGCCGGCGTGCACCCACGCCGAGTAGGCGAGGTCGCGCTCCGCCGCCGCGCCCTCCTTGCCTCGCGGCGGGTGGTAGCCGAGCGCGCCAAAGTGCTCGCAGTGGTCCCGCAGCGCCTTGATGGCGAGCGCGACCACCGCGGGGCTGTGAGGCTGCCGCAGCGCCGCGCGCCACCGCTCGCGGCTCTCGACCGACTGCCAGAGCCGGTGCGCGGACCGCGAGCGGCTGCCCACGGCAAAGCTGCCGCCGCCCACGCCGGCCGCGCCGCCGCCGCCCTCGGAGGCCGCCTTGGCCGCGGCCGCCGCCTCTGCCTCGGCGGCCGTGCGCCAGGCCAGGTTGTACTCGGCCTCCTCCGGCGTCGGCTCGTTGCGCTCCTCCGCGTAGTTTGCGATGGCGAAGCGCACCTCCGTCTCGTCGAGGTCCTCCTCGTCGTTGTCGTCCCCGTGGACCATGTGCCACAGAGGCGGGTCGCTCCCCTCGGCCGGAAGCCAGCCAGAGATGCGCCCGTCCGAGGCGCCAAACCCGGCAAAGAAGCGGCGCGCCTGCTGCCCGACGTACTCGTGGCCCTCCTTGCGCCACGGCTTTCGCTCGTTCGGGGCCGCCGCCGTCTGCAGCGCGTGCACCGCCTCCTCGAGCGTGCCGAGCAGCTCGGCGAGCTCGTTGACCGTGGTGGCTGCGCGGCACGAGAGCTGCCACACCTCCTGCGCGCCCTCGTCTTTGCGGCCCGCCGCCACCCAGCCGGTGCCGAGCCTGCCGAGCAGCGGCGCGAGCCACTCCTCGAAATCGAGCAGCTCGTCGCGCGCCCCCGCCAGCCCGAGCGCCGACGGCTTGATCCGCAGCGCCTTGCGCTCCAGCCTGTTTTCGTAATGCGGCTGCGCGAGCACGGGAGGGTGCAGCAGCTCGTCCCGCTCCTTCTGCGCAAACGCCTCGAGCGCAGCCTCCGCCTCGCCGAGCTCGAGGTCCTCCGCGTCGCCGTCGTCGTGCACGACGTGGAAGAGTGCGCCTGCGGCCCGCGGCGGGAGGCGCGAGGCCGGGTCCTCGGCGGGCGGGGCGGGGCGCGTGCGCGCGGCGGGCGGCACCCTCGCTCGTCTCCTCGTTGGGCGGGAGCCAGCGGGTGATCTTGCCGAGCGACTGCGGGTTGGCCGCCTCGGGGAAGACGCGCAGCACCTGCCGGCCGACCCACTCGTGCCCCTCGTCGAGCCACCCCTCGTCTTGGTTGACTACCTACTGCCGCACGCAGAGCGGTGGCGGCGACCGCTGCTCTCGCCTCGTCGCGCCCCCTCCGGGCCGGCAGCCTCGTCATCGGCCATGTCGGCCGAGATGATGGGAAGCAGCTCCCGCAAGCGCTGCTTCAGCTCCGCCTCGGCCAGCGCACCCTTGTCCGTCGCTACAGCGCCCTCGCCCTCGCCGCCCTCGCCGCTGCCAGCGCCCTCGCCGCCGCCGCCGTCCCCACCGCCACTGCCCTCGCCGCCGCCGCACACGGCGCCGCGGCCATCGAGCGAGTCCAGCACCGCCTCGACGTGCGCGGCGGTGTCGTAAAAGGCCCACGTCCACCCCTGGGGAGCGGCGAGGAGCGAGAGCGTCGCGGCCACTTGGTGGCGGGGCGGCGGGCGGCGGGTGGCGCGGCGGGCGGCGCGGGCGGCGCAGGCGGCGCGGTGGCGCAAGCGGAGAATGGCGGGGTTGGCGCAAGGTGGCGCAAGGTGGCGCCGCCGCTAGCCTGCGGCGACTCTTCTCGCGGCACGTGGACCCAGAGGCGGTGCGGGTCCGAGACGAAGAAGTAGTAGGTGCGCCCCGACTGACGGCGCGCGCGCGCAAAGGGGGGGGTGAGTCGGGGAGTGTCGGCTGTGTGAGGGGTGCGGAGGGGCGCGCGAGATCGCAGCGCTGAAAGGAGTCGCGCCGCTGGGGGCGGGCGGGCGGAGGGGTGTGTGCTCGCCCTGTCGCGGCCGAGCGGCTCCTCGCGCACCGGCGCCTGGGCCATGCGCCTACGGCGTGGGGGCGGCGGCCGGAGGATGAGCGCCTCGCAGGAGGGTGGTCGAGCTGCCGCGCGGCCAGCGGCTGCCCGTAGTGGCGGTGCAGCGCCGACGCCTGCCGCTTCGTGTACTTGGCCGCGATGCCGCGCGTCACCTCCGCGACCGAGAGCTCCACCTCCACCTTGCGCGCCGCCTTGAGCGCCTCGCTCGCCCATGGCCGCCCGTCCGCCGTCTCTCCGGCGTGGCCGCTCGCCTCCGCCTCGCTGACCGCCGCCGCCAGCGCCTCGGCGTCGCGCGCACGCAGCGCCTGCAGCAGCGCCGCCTCGGCCGCCTCCTTGGCGCGGTGTCGCTTGCGCTTCTCCTCGCGCGCCGCCCGGCGGGCGAGGGCCGCTCGCCGCGCCTCGGCCGCGGCCGCGCTCGCCGGCTCGTCGTCGTCGTCGTCGCTGTCGCTGTCGTCGCTCACGTCCGAGTCGGGCGGCGCGGGCGCCTCCTTTGGGCCCGCCGCCTCCTTCGCCTCGGCGGCGGCGCCGCCGAGGCTCGCCAGCTCGCGCGGCACGGGCGACGCGGAGCGGGCGAGGGTGCGGCGCGCGGCGGCGGCCTTGACGGCGTCCGCCTAGTGGGGACGCGTCGTGGACATGTCGTTGAGAGGAGCGAGGAGTGCGCGGCGGATCGCACACGACTGCGTCCGCCTTGGCCTCGCGCTCGTCTCGCTTGAGCGCCTGCTGCTTCTCTCTCAACTCGCGAGCCAGCTCCTTGCGGCGCGACTCGTTGTCGGCGAGCTCCTGCCGGATCGTCTCTACCGAGAGGCACCTGCCCACGCGCCGAAGCCTGTGAAGGGACGCCGTGCACGCGCCTCCCGCACCACCTTCGCGAGGGAGAGGCGCCGCTCGGTCAGCGGCGTGAGGAGCGCCAGCTTGTGCGCGACGGACAAGTCCGGGTAGTCGGACCGCTGCAGCGCCGCGAGCGCGCTGCGCGACTCCTCCGTCTCGTGGAGCTCTGGCAGCAGCCAAAGGACGGCGCGCAGCACCTCTGGCCAGTTGGCGGCCGAGACGACGCCGGGCGGCGGCAGCTGCTGCACCACCATCCCCGCGTCCAGCGGCGGAGGGAGCTGGCCCGCCCGCCGGAGCTGCTCCTACGGGACACGTCCCGGACACGTCCCGGACACGGCGCGGCATCCGGCAGCCGGCAACCGTCGGAGTCGCTCCGTGTCGGCGAGCAGCGCGCGCAGCAGCCGCACGTGCAGCTCGGCGAGCACGCTGCCGTGGCCGGGCCGGCAGAGCGCGGCGACAAAGTTGTCGACGGAGAACTTTGTGAGCGTCAGACGGCCCGAGAAGGCGCACGCAAACGCCCAGCACTGCACGAGCTCGGAGGCGAGTCCGGGCGTGCGTGACTCGGCGAGCGGCAGCGGCAGCTGGCCGGGCGGCTCGGGCCGCTCGCAGGTCGGAGCCCGCACGTCGGCGCTCGGCTTGCCCGCCCTCTCCTCAAGCTCGGCCACGGCCTGCGGCTCAGACAGGCGCACTCTCACACATCAGTAGGGGGGCGGGGGGTCTGAGGGACGAGCCCCGCCGACGGCCTGAGACTCCTTGAGCGCCGCCGCGAGCCGCTCCTTGGCCGCCTGCGATATTGTACAAGTATTAGACAGACGATATCTCATACGTTCTGCCCATGTCGCTCCTTGCCGCCTGCTTCGCCTCTTTCGCGGCAACCTTCTTCGCGGCCTTGGCCTGCCTCCGCTCCTCCGCCGCCGCCGCGCGCCGCGCCCGCTCGGCGTCAGAGATGCGACTGCCCCCCGCCCGCGCGGCGACGGCGGGGTTCGGGTCGACGGCAAGGCCGAGGTGGCGCAGCACCTGCGCGGGGCGCCGTGCGGCGAGGCCAAGGCGTTGCTGCTGCTGCTGCTGCTGCTGCTGCTGCTGCTGCTGCTGCTGCTGCTGCTGCTGCTGCTGCACCTTCACTCGCGAGTCGAAGCGCCTCCCGCCGGGCGAGATGTAAAAGTGGTCCACGTGCTTGCCCTGGGGGCGGGGCGGGGTGGGGTGGGGGCGGCGGCGCGCGCGGGAGTGCACGCCGCCGGGGAGGGAGGGGTAGGTATGCCGCGGGGGGAGGGAGGAGGGGCGAGGCGCTGCCGCGCGCCTTGCCCTCCGGCATGATCCTCTCCTTGGACTGCTTGATCCAGCCGGCGCCGAACTCCTCGCACGGCTCCTCCGTCACGGCCTTGTAGCCCTTGCTCTTGCCTCCGCCGCCCTTGGCGGGCGCGCCTTTCCCGCGCTCCTCGCTGCGCTCCTCGCCGCCGCCGCCGTTGCCGCCGCCGCCCGCCGTCGCAGCCATGATCTTGAGCCGCTGCTTCGCCGGCACCGCCGCCGCAGCGCTCTCCGCCGGACGCTTGTGGCCGCCCGACCCGCCCTCTGGCGGCGCCTCCGGATGCGCCGAGCCTCCCACCTCCGCACCGGCGCCGGTGGCCACTCTTGCACCCACCCCGCCGCCGCCGCCCTCAGCCGCCTCGCGCGCCGCCGCCGCGCGCTTTTCGTACGGAGCCTTCTGCGCGTCGTCGAGGCGCTTCCACTTATTGCGCAGCCGCACCTCGATCTGGGCGCGCCGCCACTTCTTAGCGCCGTTCTGAAAAATGAGGCCGCCCGCCGCCTGGACCAGCTCCCGCCGGCCCTCGCATGCCTATGGCGAGAGAACACTGTCGGTGAGGAGATGCAAGGGAGCGTGCGCGAAGGCGCGTGCACGGGGCCAGCACGCACCTTGGGGTCGCCGCCGAGCAGCTTGATCACATGACTCAGCTCCTCGTCCGGCATCGTGCCCAGATCGGGCGTGTCGTCGTCGTCGCCACCGCTCTCCGCGTGCTCCGGCTGCTCCTTCTTCCACAACTCGTACGCGGTCTTCGCCTTCTTCGCCTTCTTCGCCGGCGACGGGCCCGACGCGGGGCGCTTGCACATCACCGAGGTTGGCGCGTTTGCGAGAGATTCTTCTTTTTGAGAGGCTCGAGGTACGCGCTCTCTCTATGGCCTCGCGCCCCCGGAGCTCGCAGAGGACCCGACCCTCGCCGAGGCGCTGGGCACCGTCCCCCCGGACCGGCCCGTCCTCAAGGAGCGCAACGCGCTGCGCGCCGAGCGCAACCCCGCCCCCGCACTCCCCGTCGCGCGCAGAGGAGAAGAACCTCTCTGACAAGGGCAAGGCCCCCGCGCGCCCCAAGGAGTCCAAGGAGCAGAAGGCGCCCCCTCTCAACATCAAAATGGGCAAAAACGGGGTGATTTCGGTCATCCGTTAAAATATCTGAAGATCTGACCGGGGGATTCTCCCCAAACCTTGCTCAGCTGATCCAGCCTGGGGGGAAGGCCAGCCCTGGGCAAAGAAACCAGCACCTCATCAGTCTTCCCTGAGCGTCACAGCTCGGTGATCGCGCCGGCCGGACACCACTGTAACGTCCGTTCCGGGCATTTGAACGCGACCTTCGGGGGCAAAGACATGGGCTCTATGGCTCAGACTGGACTCCTCTTGGTCCCTTCTGATGCCCTAGGCCACACCTGGGCCTTACCTGGGGCTCTAGGGGGCGGGGGCGGTTTGCCCCCCGAAACTGGCATGGGGGACCTTAACGTTATCAAAAGACACAATCATCTCCGTTCTCCGATCTTGCGAGCCAACGGCAACGCGTTCTCGAGACGCATCGGAGCCCGCGCCGAGCTGCGCGCCGAGCGCGCACATGCCATCCGTCATGATCGCATCGATCGGCCTCCTCGAAAGCACCGCAGCCCCCTAGGATTGGGACGCCGTCCGACGCCCCCCCTCCTAGAGCCGCTTTTTGTGCGGCCCGAGCTCCGTCTTGGACGCCTTCTTGTAGCAGCTCGCGCCGCCGACGGGCAGCGTCGAGAGGATGGGGCCCTTGAAGAGCTTGCAGCGGGACGCTTGCCTTTGACGGTGTACTCGAACCCTGCGCGGGCCAAAGCGCGGTGTGCTGCGACCAAGAGGAAGGAGCTGAGGTGGGGGGGCGGGTGGGTGGGTGTGTGGGGGGGGGGGGGGGGGGGAGGCGCGCCGGTGCAGCCGCGGCTGAAGCGACCCCCGTGGCACCCCAATAGCCCGAGCTCGATACCCCAAAGCTCGTCAAAGTTGCCCTTGTTCTGTTCGTCCGTGCGGCACACGCCTGTAGCGGGGCGCGCGTGGTGGCGAGGCTAGGACATATCGTTGCTTGTGCGGAGCGTGAAGGGGACCGGATCGGCAGCAGCGCGGGCGGCAAAGGCCGGAGAGGCCGGAGAGCCGTCCGACGGAGGCCGGTCGTGCATCGGCGCGTCGGCCGTAGGGGCCGTGGGGGGGGGCGGCATCCATCGCTGCGGGTCGCTGCGGGCCGACGATTGTGGACTGATCGATCGTCGGCGGGCGGTGTTCAGCTGGGACGTTCTACGGTTAAACAGTGAGCGTCGGCGCGGACACCAGAGACTTATAAGGGTAGATATAAACAACCCAAAATACATACGCGCGCGCCGCGGAGACGAGATAACCTGCGATAACCCCGGACCACTGGAATCTGGATAGCGGGCACAGCAAGTCCAAAAAAAGTCCCGAGGAAGCAAGTGGAAGGCTGGAAGACCTCGCCACAGCTTGCCCCCTCCCCGCCCTCGCGCTCGGGCCTCGCTCCACACCCAGGAAAAGCTCAACCACAACTCTGGACTGACACGCTCGCGCCACGCGTCCCTCTCCTCACAACGCAATGATTCCGCCACCCGGAGGGTTCGCCACCAACCTTCAGCTCTTCAAGAGCCTCCTTCTCAACCTGTCGGCCACGGCTCCACTGCTGCGCCTCGTCCCGCCCTCGCTGCTGGCCCGCGCGAGAGCGAGCGGCCGCGAGCGGCTGTGCAATGCGACCGTCGACTTCAACGTGGAGCACAACCTGGTGCTTCCGGGCGGCCGGGACGCTCAAGGCGCCCGTCCCGGCATCTGCCCCGACCGCGTCACGTCAGCCGACGGCACGCCGTACCTTGTTCGCCTCAAAAACGCCGGCGCCTTCCTCCACAGCGATGTCGCTGTCGAGTACTCTCGTCCAAACATAGAGCACCTCGCTCGCTCGGGCCACTTCACGCCGCAGGAACTCAGCAAGCTGGTGTACATCCCGCCACTGCCGTGGACGTACGCGCCCGGCGCGGCGCACACGCGCGACGTGCGCATTCTCGTCACCTTCTCCTCTGACGTCGGGGACCCGCGCCGGCGGCAGCTTGTGGCGCAGCTGCGGGAGCAGGGTATCAACGTCACGTGGGCGACGGGGCTGCCGCCGAGCAGCGCCGCGATGCGGGCACTGCTGGATCGAACACGAATCCTGCTGAACGTCCACCAGACCCCGCACCACCACACGCTCGAGGAGTTCCGCCTGCTGCCCGCCCTCTCCCGCGGCGTGGTGGTCGTTTCAGAGGCGGTCCCTCTCCGCGAGGCGGTTCCGTACGGCGACCAGCTGCTCTTCGCGCCATACGAGCAGCTCGTTGAGAGCGTGCGAGCGGCAGACCGGGATTACGACCAGATCTTTGAGCGCATCCACGGCGCGGCCGCGCCCACGCGCGCGCTCTTGCAGAAGATGCGAGAAGACGCCCGCGTCGACCTGGCGGCACGGCTGCAGGCGCTGCAGCGGCGGTGCGCACGTAGGCCCGACCGGCGGTTGCAAGGGGTGGCGGTAGGGTCTCATCCAGCTATCAGTTCCACGCCGCGGATGGATCGGTGCGCCCACAGGCCCGATGGCCACTTGCAATCGGCGGCGGCGCCGGCGACGGCACATGTGGGAACCTCGCCGGGCCTCGAAACACAGCCGGACCTGAGACTCCCGCCGTCGGTCTTTCCCGCCACACCCTCGTATGACAGACTCTTGGCTTCGCGCTACTTCTCGAGCGCCACGCTGGTGCGACAACATCCGATCAACTGCAGTGGCGTCGACTTGCTCGTCGTGCCCGCCCCGCTGCGCGGGCAGGGGCTCGGCTCGACCCTGCACGTATGGTCGCAGCACCTACGCAACGCGTGGGATGCGGGGCGCGTGGCTGTGCTCTCGAGCGACGTGATGCAGTCCGGCTGGCAGTGGGCCGAGGGCGTGCCAGGTTGCAACCAGAGCCGCGGCTTCGAATGCCTCTTTCTACCCCTCAGCTCTCCCGCGTGTGTCCGCCTCGCGCGGGAGCACCCTCGTGCTCCAGCTGTGGTGTGGGAGTCAGAGGGCAGTCCCAGGAGACCGTCCAGCCAGCAGTGGCCACTTGATCTGGAGGCACTGCGATACCTGCTGCGGCCCAGTCCGTGGTTTCGTTCGTGGCTATCGGCACGCTACGCCGAGTTCTGGGGAGGGGTGGCGGCGGGAGACGAGAGCGGGAGGCGGATTGATCGCGAGTCGCTCTTCTCCGTTCACATTCGCTGGGGCGACAAGATGATCGAGGCGGGTCTGAAGCCGGTCTCCACCTACGTCGAGAGCGTGCTGCGCGTCGTGACGGAGCAGCGCATCGCGAACCCGCTGGTCTTCCTCAGCTCTGAGGACGGGTCGGCGGTCGAGTTGTTTGAGCAGGCTGCCGGGCGGTACGGGCTCCGCATCGTCTCCTTTGCATACGACCGGCCTCGGATGAACTGTGGCGGCATCAACCTGACAAGCACCCTCGGGCTTCAAGGGAAGGGCGTCGAGCAGTTTCGGCCGCCGGGGGCGAGCTACCTCGAGCGGTGGAAGCAAACCCATCACCAGGGCGTCTGCCCGCACCTGCTGAACTACGCCCGGGAGCACGACGTCCCGCTGGGCCCAATCTCGCTGTTGAATCTGTACCTCGCCTTGGAGAGCAAGTACGTTGTCTGCGATACGGCGTCCAACTGGTGCCGGCTGCTCCACGAGCTCGCGGACGAGGTCGCCGTAATGATCCCGTTGCGCGTTGGGCCGCGCTGAATTACAGAGCCTGAAAAACCAAACAGGGGCGTGCCGACGATCTGACAAAATATCTCTGAGAGATGAAGAGCTGAAGAGCTTGTCTCTGTGTGTCCGGTGCACACCTCCAAGCTCCATGCACACACTAGTCACCCTCATCCCTCTCCATGTGAGCGTACGCGTACTGGGCTGGGTTTTTAGGCATTGTGGGGTTGGCACTCCCATCGACCCTCATGACCTCCTGCGGTCTCTGAGATGGACACCAGTGGGTGTGGGACCACAGCCAGGATACACTCGAAGGCTGGGTAAGCAGTAGAGGTCGATACTCGACGCGTCCCACATGGTCTGTGTCGCTGTCGGCACGCTGTCGACAGGACGTCGAGCGACACCGGTGGCAGTGCCACCCAGGAGTGGTCGGGCGGTCTCCCGTCATGAAAGAGCCACCATGTGATCCGTATGATGATTCCTGACAACCGACTCAGTCAACTTTCGTCACAGTTCCCGCTCTGAGAGGAGCTGCGGGTCAGTTCGACAGCTGGAGCTGTGTCGCCGGCGTGCGGCGGCCTGCCTCCGGAGGTGCCTCTGAGGTGGACATTTCTTGGTCACCGTGAGAGAACGCGTTCGAATTTTAACTCCGGAACTTCAACTCTGCACGCGCACCGGCCAGGGCTACAATAGTGCCAGTGAGGCGAAGGCGCGAGTCGGAAGGCCGCGACCGTGATTTGGTCCCTCCATTTTCCTACAATCGCTGTGAACCCAGCCACGTAAAAGTGTTGTGGTGCGCACTGCACCGCGGCCTCTGCTACTAGTGCTTACGCCGCGCGCGCCCTCACACCGAATACACACACAAAAACCGACTCGGTGCAAATAAAAAGAGGGTGTCACCGCCGCTGCTCGTCGTCCTCGACGCCGAGCAGCCACTTCGCCTTACTCAGCGCGAGAAACCCCACCGCATTCGTTGGGAAGGCCTTTAGCACGGTGACGTCCGCGCCGCGGAAGAAGCCGCGCAGAGCGCCGTGCTCGCGCAGCACGGCGCGGGTGTGGAAGAGGACGCCGCCGCTCTCGGTCGCCATGAGCCGCGAGCGCACCACGTCGACCGGCGAGAGCAGGAGGTTGAAGAGGACGCCCGTTGCTCCGCCGCAGAGCAGGCGTGCCAAGGCGGGGCTGATGGGGCTGCCTTCGCGGCTGATGCGCTCTCGCACGTTTACGTCGAGGCACTCGTGCAGCAGGAAGAAGACGCCGTTGCCGGGGAGGTTGCGGACCGCGGTGAGCGATACGCCGCGCCAAGCATTCCGCGCCGTCGTTGGCGGCGGCGGCGGCGGACTTTCGCCGCCGTAGGATGTCTGCAGCTGCGTCCGCCACACATCGAGAGGATTCTGCAGGACCGTGAGCGACACGCCTGATCCAAAGCCAGCGCCGAAGACGCCAGTGTAGAAACTGCGCCACTCGGCGCCGGAACCAGTGGCCAGGCGCGGGCGTTCCGGCCGCAGCGCACTGTAGGTGCCGAAGAGCAGCGTGCTCGATGGCAGAGAGATGAGAATCTGAGGCGTCAGTCCCTTCCAGAGCGCCAGCACGCCTTCGGTGCGCACTGTGTGGGTCAGGCAGTGCCACGCCGAGCGGAACCGCGCCTGGGAGGTGGTCTGAAGCCTCGTGCGGATGACGTCGAAAGGAACTCCGATGCCGGCCCACGCGAATGCAGGAGCGGCGCTGGCTGCCCACAATCGGCCGGTGCGACCCGGTGCGGGCGGAGCTGTTGAAGCCGCCGACAGATCCCCCTAACACACGCGGTTTGCTTCGGCGTCGGTGGGAGTACCCCAACTTCACCATCGAGTGTTTTCTTTTTTAGTTTCCCATAAGTAAGGTAGGTTGGAAGGTAGGTAGGTAGGGGCAGGGCAGGGGCCGGCCAGGTTTTTGCAGAATTTCATCATGAGGCCCACCCAAGCAAAAATAAAATACACCTGATCTCACAGTAGAGAGGTGTCAGTTATTATTATTATTAAATACCACAAACGAGCAACATCCTCGCGTGCCAATGAGCAATGTCTGCGTCAAGAGTCGACGTGCAGCACGTCCCGCATCTCGCGCATCGCGGCGACCATGCAGTCGGCGAAGCCGGTCGAGTCGCGCTGGTACGTCATGATCTGGCCGCCGCAGCCGTCGGCACGGATCACGTACCCGACGGCGAAGCAGTCGGGGTGGAAAGGCCCGAAACCGCCGTTTGCGAGGGCGGGCGAGGAGAGGGTCGAGGTGGAGATGACAATCTTCGAGAGGCGGCGGTACGCCTCCGACTCGAAGAGGGGCGGCGCGAGCCCTCGCTCCGCCGCCATCCGCTGCAACACCCACAAGTGGCGGTCCATCCCGGCGCCTACGTAGACAGACAGCCGAGTCGGCGCAAGGGGTGCACTCCCCTCGCGCAGAGATCCGTACCCGTGCCGGCGCGCGCCGATGAGCGCGTCGCGGCTCACGCGCGAGTGGTTGCGCACCGCGGCGCGCATCGCCGCGGCGCGCGCCGACGGCGTCGCCGCCGGGTCGGTGAAGGCGTCGGTGAAGGCGCGCGACTCTGGCGTGGCAGACCTGGGGGGGGGGGGGGGGGGCATGCCCTGGACGTGTCATGGGGACATTTCGTGGGCGCGGCGCGACTGCTGGCGGTGCGCGCCGGATCGTCTCTGTGCGGCCGTGCTTGAAGGCGGCGGTGGAGGCGGACTCGTAAGTCGAGACGGTCCTGGCGAGTCACAGCGGGTTGAGATCAATCGGTGGCTCATGCATGCATCGGGGCCGTGCGTCGAGACGACCGGCCACTCATCTTAGCCATCGCGAGCTGGAAGGACATCTGCATCATCCCGTCGGGGGAGACGCCGCCCTTCTTGAGCGCCGCCGTAGTGAAGGCGTCCGTCATCACCTGCAGCGGCGGCGGGCGGAGGTCCAGCCGGCGACGTCCCGAGGCCTCGCAGGGTCTGCGAGCCGTGACGAGAAGAGGGAGGAGGAGCAAGGGGCGAGGGCAGAGGGGGGGGGGGGGGCGGGTGGAGGCGTAGCGGAGGCTCGCCGTCGCGAGGACCGGCTGCATCTCGGCTGCATCTCGGCTGCATCTCGGCTGCATCTCGGCTGCATCTCGGCTGCATCTCGGCTGCATCTCGGCTGCACCTCGGCTGCATCTCAGCTGCTAGTTGGAGGCGCGCCGTCGCGAGGTCTGTGCCGGCGATGGTCGCATCGAAGCGGCGGCCAGCCTCCTCCACCGCCGCGGCGAGCGGCGGCGGCAGCTCAAAATCGAGCCTGCGCGGCGGCGCGGCGGGCGGCGCCGGCGTGTCCGTCGGCAGCGCCGTCGAAGCGTCGAACATCTCGTTGGCGAGGCGCAGGACCTGGTGCAGCGAGTCGCCTCTGCTGTGCAGTGTGGTCCATCATGCAGCGCCATCTCGCTGGCGGGGGGACCGAGACGCCGTCGCCCCACGAGTGCTCAAAGTTGATGGCCGCCTTTGCGTTCTCGGTCACCACGAGCTGGAAGGACTTGTCGAACCAGCGGTCGATCCCGCGCCTGTAGGACACGGCGTGGACGTGTCGTGGACGTGTCGTCGGACTCGTCGAGTCAGCCGTCGATCCCGCGCCCGTGCAGCATCGCGCGGTTCACCTCGCCCAGCTCCTCTGGCGACGACCTGTGCGGAAGCGGCGAGCAGCGCCCCTCACTCGCTCGACGAGGTGCGGTCCGACGGCGGCAGCGGCGGGCGAGAGTGGCGGCGAAGGTATGGGCGAGAGGTGAGAGGATGAGGGCGAGAGGGTGAGGGTGAGAGGATGAGGGTGAGAGGTGAGGGTGAGAGGGTGAGAGTGAGAGGTGAGAGGTGAGAGGTGGAGGTGCGAAGGTTTGCGGCGCGTGTCACCCGTCCAAGCAGACAGCGAAGAGCGCCTAGGGGCCGTGTCCAGAGAAGGGTGAGGGGAAGGGGGCAGAGGGAGAGGTGCACAGGAGGTGTCCGAGCAGGCGGCTACAGGCGCCTCGTCGATCTGCTTGAGCGAGGCTGCGTTGGCGGGCGCGGCGGCGCACAGCTGCTCGCGGAGCGCCGCCCACTCGCCTGTTCTCGCGCACCGGGGGGTGAAGAGTCGGAGGCTCGCCAGCGCTGCAGGTCGCCGCCGGCCGACTCGCGCCTCGCGGCAGGGAGGTGAGGTGCCCCACGCCCGCCGATCCGCCTCTTGCGTCGGCGGGCGAAGCCAGGATCGCCTCGAAGGCGCCCTGCAGCTGCGAGGGTGGCACCTGCAGGAAGGTTCCGAGAGGGTTCCGAGAGGCTTCGCGGAAGGGTCGTGGGAGGGGCCCCTGCAGCAGCGAGGGTGGGGCGCCGGCTCTCCGGCGGGCGTGAGGAGGTCGACTGCCCAGAAGGCGCCTACCGGGTCCGGAGGCCGGCGTGAGGCGGCGAGGGCGAGAGAGGGAAGGCGCGTCTGGCCGGCCGCGTCTCTCTGCGCTGCGCCGCTCCGCTCCTCGGCACTCCGCACGAGGACGTGCGTTGAGAGTGTCTAGCAGGCGTCGAAGGAGGTGGTGGAAGGAGGTGGAAGGAAGGAGGTGGACGGAAGAGTCTCGGCGAGGCGTCTGCTCTCCTCCCCGCTGCACGACCACGTGCCGCGAGTCGCTGCACGTCGAGAGCTCGTCGAGCTCTGGCCGAGGCAGCCTCGTCGAGCGGAACAGGTTCGCGTACCTGCAGGCAAATTAATCAATCAATTAATGATTGGCGCCTCCTCGCCGACCGGCGTGCGAACCACGCGTCCAGCGGAGGGAGGGGGCGTGCGCACTGCGACATGTCGAGCGCGTACGCTCCCGTGGCGGCAGCGCCGTAGAATGCGACGCTTCGCGGCATCAGCCGCACTGCTTCGCGCCAGAGCGGCGTCTGCGACACCTTTGGCTTTGTGTGGAAGACGTCCGGCTCGAGCACGCCCGCCTGTCGACCGGTCCTCTCCGTGTGAAGTATCGCCTCTCCGTGTGCGCCGCGTCCGGATCGAGCGCTTCTCCCGCCTCGAGCGTCAGCAGGAAGCGGCCGGCCGCGTGGCACAGCCGCGCCGCGCGGTTGGCCTGCGACGGGCGGGCCGCCTCGTCCTCGAAGGTGAGCTGCGGGTTGTAGTTGAGCAGCAGCGGCGCGCGGTCGCGCAAATACATGTCGAACCATGGCGCCGAGATGTACGACGTGTACTGCCGCTCGCTCGACGCGAGCAGCTCGGCCTGCAGCGCCGGACCCTCTGCGCCGGCAAAGGCAGACGCGCCGCGCCGCGCGAGCAGGTGCTCGTCGTCCGACACGAGCGGCTCCGCAAAGTACAGAAACTTGGAGAGCGTATCCGACAGCGCCGGGACCGGCATCTTGGGCAGCGAGTCCTGGAAGTGGTCCGTCGGGATGCGGGACTCGTGCAGCAACGTCGCGGCGCCGCGGACCGGCCCGCCGATGCGCAGCGCCCGCAGTGCGTGCCGACGGCCGGATTGCATGCAAGAGAAGAGAGGCAGGAGAGAGGCTGCTGCAGAGTGCTCACCGAGTGCTCACCGCTCTCGTCTAAGATACCCGGCGACCTTTTTTATCAAAGCGTTGGTGTCTTATCCGAGCCTGACTGTTGTTCATCTTTCTACATACATACAGCCTTCTGTTGTTCATCTTTCTACATACATACAAAGCCTTCGATGAAAAAGATGTATGGTTCTTGCACTTGTGCAAGATTGGGCGTCTTCTGCCGCAGTCCCTTTGATGGGAGGCCCCAGGCAGGGTGGGGGCCACCTCGAACCCCCGGCCAGGGATTCGAGCGGAGGGTGCCCCGGATTCATCTATCCGTTGGGCCCCGGCACCTATTTTAGAACTGATCACTTTGCGCAGCAACCGTCGGCCGCCGCTTTTTAGCTGGACGGCGGTACGCTGCGCTGTCGCTCTGTCGTGCACGCTCTCGTGCCTCGTTGTTGTGACACGGGAGTAGAGTCGAGAGGTAGCCCTCGACGAGACGACCGGCGCCGCGATGCCAGACCTCACTGCCGCCGAGCTCAGCATTCCGGCCGAGCAGCACCCCGATCCCGCAAAGCCACTGGTGATACCCGTCGACTCAACAGTGGTAGGCTCTACCCTGCGCTTCATTCCGTGGTCTGTGGTGGGCAATCCGGCCCTCCTCCAGCTGCCCCCTCCTCCTCCGGGGATGCAACCGTCGTGGGTCCAGATTCCGCAGTGGGTCGCCATCAGTGCGCTGCTTCCCTTCAGTGAGCCCGAGCCCGCTGTGGCCACCCACTTTGACAGGCTCAGCGTCTTGCGGCTGGCCGTATTGGCCGCGGCTTGGCGCCGCATCCTCGGTGCCTTGTCCGACCTCGGCGTTTTCAGCACGGTGCACGTGGATGAGGATGCGTTCCGTACGGTGTGCATCCAGGCTCTGCACTCCCGCCAAATCCCGGTGCCCGAGCTCTATCTGCAGTGGGGCGATTTGGGGTACTCTGAGGCTATCGTGCCCTTGGGACCAGCGCCATCTGCAGAAGCGAAGGCCGTCGACTTCTTGCAGTACGCGACGGTCGGGGCTCTTTGCGACCCTACGGCCGACGTCCCGTTCGCAGCCCTGTCTGACATGACCCGCTGCTTGGGGCCCGTCTTCACGGCGGCGGCGCGCGTCGATCCCATGGGGAGCGCCGTCGTGGGGGCTGCATCGCTCGCCGCCGCCGCTGGTCACATCACTCCGCGAGCGAGCGATGGGCATCCCGCCCTGCTCTCTCGGCATGTGCTCAGCATGCTGAAGACTACCCGCTCGAGTTTCCCGGCCTGCCTGAGGACCAACTCTTTTCAGAACTACTCTGCGGAGGTTGAGACTCGCGCCGAGTATGTGGGCGGGACCGCCGTGGCGCGCGACCGAGTGGCCGAGCAGCGTTGCTCGCGCGCTATTGCAGCCAAGGCGCCGACGCTCGACTCCCTGCTCCGTGCGCTGCCTCGGCCAACACCCCCGTCGGTCGTTTATGAAGCCTACCGGCAGCTCGTCTCGCTCTACTTTCCGACGGATCGGCGCCCTATGGACCTGCTCCTGACTGATCTGGATGCTCAGCTTCACGCGCGGCTGCCCACCTACCAACACGCGCTGACCAACGGCAAGCCGTTCGCTTCGATCCTGGCGGGGTTGCGCAAGCTTCACGAATCGCTCGAGCCCTCGAGGAAGGCGCCAGTCATGACTTCGACAGGCGACTCCGAGGACTCGGCGTTGGGCAAGTTCGACCCCCACGAGTCGGCGGTCGAGACCGCCCTGTTGCGGTGCGCTGAGGTCACGACCGGGCCCGAGCGAGGGGCGGCCAGCGCGCGGCGACTCGGAGGCGGCGACCTCCCCGCCAGCCGCGTGCTCCGCGCTCGCGCAAGTGGACCTACCTCAGGCGGCGGGCGAGCTACCGCTGTGGTGCGTGCAGGCGGCGATGTCGACTACCGGCGTCGTGCTGGCCGTCGTCGCCTGTGCAGCTCAACCGCTCCTCCTCGCCCACGCCCACGGGATGCAGATCTTCGGCGCGGAGCTAAACGGGACAAGGCAAAACACAGTTGCACAGATACATGCCGGCGGCGCGACTCCCCCCCGCAGATCGCCCTCAGTGGGGGAGACCGCGACACCGGTGACGGAGCGCAGTTGGGAGTGTCTTCGGCTCACGCCAGGGCGCTCGTTGCTCCTCCGTCTCTTTGTATCTTCCATACTGCGTTTATCAGAAGACGTATGGTTCTTGCACTTGTGCAAGATTGGGCGTCTTCTGCCGCAGTCCCTTTGATGGGAGGCCCCAGGGTGGGGGCCACCTCGAACCCCCAGCCAGGGTTTCGAGCGGAGGGTGCCCCGGATTCATCTATCCGTTGGGCCCCGGCACCTATTTTAGAACTGATCACTTTGCGCAGCAACCGTCGGCCGCCGCTTTTTAGCTGGACGGCGGTACGCTGCGCCGTCGCTCTGTCGTGCACGCTCTCGTGCCTCGTTGTTGTGACCCACCCTGTCCCACCCGTGTGTGATCAGTGTCTACGGAGGGAGTGTCTTCGGCTCACGCCAGGGCGCTCGTTGCTCCTCCGTCTCTTTGTATCTTCCATACTGCGTTTATCAGAAGACCGCGTCCACCCATACTGCTGTGAAGCAGCGCCGCCGGCGCGAGAGTGGTAGCCTCTCGGCGCTGCTGCAGCCGTCGCAGCCGTGGGTGTCCGCGGCGTTCGCGGCCGTCAGCGCACCGCTGCCCGAGTGTGGCTTGGACGCAGATGGCGCCGCGCCGCCAGCGCTGCTGCCGCCGCCGCCGCCGCCGGGCCAGCCTGCGCTGACCGACGCGGTGGTGCTGCGCGTGTGGTCAACGGAGGGGCAATGCGAGGGGATGACGCGCCAGAGCGGCGGGACAGAGCGATGCCGGGTGCATCGCAATAGCCCGTACGCAGTCGCGGCACCGCTGCGCCGCGGCGAGCGGTACTGCGGCCACCATCACCCCGACAAGTTCACCGGGGTGCAGTGCGCAGGGCAGCGCAAGCACGGCAAGGGCCGATGCCGAGTGTGGAGCGGTTGCTGCTATGCCGATGCCGCCCCGCTCCGTCGCGGCAGCCCCTACTGCCACCACCACCGCGTGCGCTGCGTGGGGCTGACGCAGTCCGGCGCGCGCTGCACCGTGACGAGCTCCTCCGAGAACGTGCACGCGCAGCCGCTGCGCGACGGCGAGCTGCACTGCGCACACCATCAGCCCGCGGCGCCATCGTCGCTTGCTCCATCGGCGCCCTGTCCACGCGCCGCGGTCAGCGATCGGGCCATCGTGCTCGGTAGCGGCGAAGATTTCGAGGGCCCGGACGGGCCGCTGCCGCCATCCATCGCGATCGTTGAAAGCGAGGCCAGGCTAGAGCAGGGCAACTGCCTTACGCAGCTACTCCGACGCTTCCCTGCACTTCACTACACCTCGATCAAGTACAGTGACCCCACACTCCCCCACTTGTGGGTGCTCCCGCTCGAGGGGCAAACGGCACAAACGGGCCGGCTCGCGGACTTCATGGTGAGCTTAGGGCTCACTGTGAGAGAGCAAGACCTTGACTACGAGAGCTCCGATGACGATGCAGCCAGCGATGTCGACAGCGCGCGTTGCGATGAGCCGCTGGACCCTGACGTAGAGGCGGAGTTGCCCGATTATTTTTAATAGGCATTGCGGCTAGAATGAATATTCGGTCGCCCCGCCCCGCCCCAAACGGGCTTCTTGGGTGGAAAGAAATGCCACTGGCGGCTGTGCTGCTCTGGTTTCTTTGCCATCAGACGAGACCTGGGCCATCAGTCGGGCCTTGCTCCCAGGGGCGGGCCACTTGCCATCAGTCCCGCGAACAAGACATGGTTCCCGCGTTCGCTCTCCTCTCCTTTGTCGCACTAATCGTGCCCGTCGATGCCCTACAAACGAATGTCGGTGGCAAGGCTACATCCAAGGAGGCGGCCGCACGGTCCAAGCCCGTCGTCGAGGCAGCGGCGACAGCTGACCACCCACTAAATTCCAACAGCGTCCAGTGCCTGCTTGATGAGCCGGTCCTCGAGTGCAACCTTCGCCGCACTGTGGACGGGCCCTGGTCCGAGGCCTGGACGCGATATGTTCTACTCCGCCCTGGCATGTCGTTTCGTGAACTCAAGGCTGCCACCAAGAAGCGCAACGAGTTCAGGCTCAGCGAAAGGGTCCCGGGCACGCTCAGAACGGTGGTCCTTGTTCACGTCATCTGCTTCGCTGCCGCGCTGCCCGCCGTATTGAGCTCTGACGCCGTATTCCCAAAGCTGCTGGAGCTTGCCGTTGCGGGCCGGGTTGCAGCAGGAATCTAGCCGTCAGCGTCCTTGTTGGTTGTTGAGCGCGGACACGTGGTTGCTGGTTGCCTGCTCCTCAAGAACCTCCGCATGCCTCCCGCCTCTCGTTTTGCGACCCTTGCCATACCCATGACTTTGTGTTCCCATGTCCCCGGAGCCCCTCTCGTCGACCTCACACTTGTTGAGTATATAGTGGCGCCTGTGTGGTACAACCACGTTAGCTTTTCGCTCGTGAGCTTGAACCACACACCTCGACAACACAATCACACGCACACGCGAGCGCATCGCTCCCCCCGCAGTCGTCTCAGCCGGTACTCAGGAGGGTGCAGAGGAAGCCGCCGCCGGCGCCGGCGCGGCCACCGCCTCCGCCGGCGCGGCCACCGCCTCCGCCGCCTGGCAAACCTCCTCCTCGAGCGACATTTCCGGCGCATCAACAAGCTCGCACTCAAAGATGCGCGCGAACGCGTCGAGGAAGGGCGGCGCCGCCTCCGACACAGAGACGCCTCGCCCAACCTCGCGGCTAAGCGAGGTGACTCTCGTGTTGTGGTGCAGCCCGCACGGCACAATCATGTCGAAGAAGCGGAGGTCCGTCTCCGCGTTGAGCGCGACGCCGTGCGAGGTGACCCAGCGCGAGACCGACACGCCGATCGCGCCAATCTTCCGGTCCGTCACCCAAACGCCCGTCTCGCCCTCGCCGCCGCGCCTCGCAGACACCCCAAAGGCGCCGGCCGTGCCGATGAGCGTATCCTCGAGCGCCTACTCGGAAGGACGGGGCGGGTGAGAAGCGTGGCGCACGGAGGCCGCCGCCGCCCGCGGGCCTGGCCGCCTCGACGTACCAGTGGACCGACTTCCGGAAGCGGCCGAGGTCGAGAATCGGGTACGCGACAAGCTGGCCAGGCCCGTGGAAAGTGACGTTGCCGCCGCGCTCCGACTGGTGCACCGACGCCCCCGCCGCCGCAATCTCCTCTGGCGACGCGAGCACGTTGGCCGCCGACTGCTGCACGCGGCCGAGCGTGAAGACGGGCGGATGCTCGAGCAGCAGCAGCGTGTCCCCGCGCACGCCGGAGCGCACCTGCGCGGCGAGCGAGCGCTGCAGCGCCTGCGACGAGGCGTAGCCGACGCGGCCGAGCCGATGCACATTGACAGGCCTCACACACATAGCCGACGCAATAAACGACCGGAACGCGGAAGGTTCCGGCTCCAAGGCGGTAGGGAGTCAAACCGTCTCGCGCCGTCTCTGTTGGCGCCCCCCCCTCTGTACTCGGCACTGTACACTCCTTTCGTTCGTACTAATGTCGCAGAGAGGGGACGGTGTGGTGAGTGCACCGGTCCGCAGGGACAACCTCCACATGCGGCAACGCACCTCACACCATCTCCACCCCCCTCATGTGACTCCGGAGAGAGAGAGGGTACCCTCCCACCCCCAGCCGACGGTGCAACTATGCAATACCCAAAACGGTGTACTCTCGAGGCAGCGCGCCGCGTGTGCCGGCGGCGTCACGGCGGCGTGACCAGCGCCCCTCACCCTCAGGCCGCCGCCGCCTCCGCGTCTCGGCAAGGCGGGTCGTGAGGCCGCTCGGCGACGACGCGCCTATAGGAAGGGTCCGAGAAGGTTCGCTGGACGTGTCCGGCGGGGGGGGGCGTGCGCACGACTCGGCGGCGGCGCGCGTGATGCCGAGCGCGTCGTTCGCCTCGCCCTGCTGCACCGACGTGATCGCGTTGTAGAGCGTGGCGATCGTGTCGAAGCCTAGCGGGGGAACGGGGGGGGGGGGGGGGGCTCTGGGGGGTGAATCCTAGCAACCGGGGGCGGGAAGACCGCCCGGTTCCTTTTGCTCAGAACGGCCCGTGCATGTCCAAGGGCGACGAGTCCGGTCGACTCTGTCGCGCGCAGCCGAACGCGAGCCGTCTCCGAGTGGCCGTGTGTGAGGTCTGTCTGCCGCGTCTAGGGGGGGGCGTGCCTGCGTAGCTGTGCACCGTGCCGCCCCGCGTGACGGAGGAGATGGGCGTGAGGACGACGGCGGTGCCGCACGCCGCGACCTGCGGGCGGCGGGGAGCGGTGAGGAGCGGCGAGGAGCGGCACGGGGGAGGGGTGGGGGGGTGGGTGGGGGGTGGGGGTGGGGGGGGGGGGAGCTCGAGCGATCCGAATCGGCCAACCTGAATCTCGGCGGGTCTCGGCGGATCTCGATCTCGGCGGATCTCGGCGCGCGGCTCGCCTCCTTGAGGCCTCCCACCTCGTCAAAGCTGACCGGCCGCTCCTCCACCCGCATGCCGAGGCGGCGAGCCGTCTCGAGGACGACCTGGCGAGGGCGGGCAGGGGCCGGGGTGGTGGTGGGGGCGTTGGAGCTTGCGGCTGGGAGTAGGGGCGCGCGGGCTCGTCGCACCCCCTTGGTGCAGGAGGGGAGGATGGAGGGCGAGGTTGGTGTGACGACTGTCCCCTCCGCCGTGACGCCGATGAAGTTGGAGGTAGAGAACTCCTGGTGACGAGAAGAAGAACCGTGACAACCACCAAGAAGGGTCAGCAGTGATGGAGTTGGAGGCGGCGAGGCTCCTCGACGTACGTCTGCGTCGCCGCGTCGAGGTAGAGGCAGACGGGGTACCTGTCCGCACCACACCACGCCGTGAGCAGCGTCTCTTCACACCTCGGCCAGGTGGACGCCGGCCTCGCCCCGTCTCCTTGGCGAGGATAGAAGGACGTGTCTAGGAAGTGTCTCGGAAGTGTCTGAGGCCTCACCCCTTCTCCTTGGCGAGGATAGATGGAAGCACGTCTGGTGCGTAGTTGCCCGCGGCCTTGATGTTGCCGACGCCGCGCGGGGCGGCGCGGTCGAAGCCCTCGACCACGAGCGCGTCGATCGGCTCGAGCCCGCCCTTGTAGTAAGCGCCGACCGGCGAGGCGATCACGCAGAACGAGTAGTGCGGCGCCGCGCCGAGGCCGAGCTTCTCGCCGTGGCCGAAGAGGAAGGGGCGGAGGTACATCGCGCCTCCGTAGCCGTAGGGAGGCACGTACTCGACGTTGTCGCGGATGCACCGGTCCACCGCCTCGTCGAACAGCTCCGGCGGCACCACCGGCATCGCGAGCCGCTCGGCGCCGCTCTGCAGCCGTGCGGCGTTGGCGTGCGAGTTGAAGACGCGCACGAGGCCGTCCTTGCAGTGGAAGGCCTTGAGGCCCTCAAACAGCCCCTGGCCGTAGTGCAGCACGTTGGACAGCCCGTGGATCGTCACGGTGAACTCGGGCGAGGACTCACCCGCGTCCCAGCCGCGCTCGGCGCTCCAGTTGTACCGGATCATCCGAGCCGTCGGCGTCGCATTGAAGCCGAGGGTCTCCCACTCCGGGAGCGGCGGCGCGGTCGCGTATAGCCGACGGCGAGAGGCCGCGCGGCTGAGCGGCCGCGACGCTCTCCGCAGCATCGAGCCGTGATCAGGGCAAGGGCGACCTCGGCAAAAGAATTCTCAGCACTTCGCGACGAGGTGGATATCCTTTCGCCGCGTTGGGTAGCGAGGATTGGTGTGACGCGCAGGCGTGTTTTCTGACGGCCGACCGTCAGTGCACGGAGTTGCCCCTTCTCCGACTGCCCCGGCTAGTTCACGAGTTTCGCGGGAGTGACCCCTTCGCCCCCCGAGACCTAGCGCGGGTGGGTTGGAGGGGGCTCGCTGCAGGGAAGGGCGGTGTAAGAAGCCGATCCCCGTAGTCCGCCCCGCTCCTCCCCATCGGGCCGCATGAGCGGCCACGCCTCGCAGATTCGTTTTCGCGCCTGGGTCAGGCGCGCGGGGCATCCCCCGGGTCGCTCGACCAGCGATCCGAAGAGTGGCCGCTATGCGATGCGTGCGCCGCCGCACGATGGGGTGCGTGGTTGCTCTGCCCGGCGCTGCAGGGCGCCGAGCCGCCTCTCCGCTGGCGTGCAGGTCGGGATGGGTCTGGTGGTGGGTTGTGAGCGGGCGAGGCGCGCCTCATCAGCCGCTGTCTCGTCGGCCATGCCTGCCAAGATGCTCTCGACAGCGCGCACAGAGGTCTCAGGGCTGCGCGCGGTCCGCACAGAGGTCTCAGACGGCCTCCGACCGGCCTGCGCAAGGGAGGGTGAGGTGGTTGATCAGAAAAGTGCGGCGGCGACGGTGCCGCAAGCCTTGCGCCGCAAGCATTCGGGAGGCGTGTGGGCCGCGGGACACAAGGCACCGAAGAGGGGCTGCTTTAGGTCAGATCCGCTGGGAGTCCCAGCTGTGTGCAGGGGCCCACCCCGCACACAGCGGGTCCCCAAGGGTGAATCAGAGGTGTACGACGAGATTTTTTTGCGGTCAGTCAGTCAGTGTCACACACGTCCTAGCATGGACGACGGGGCACACGCACTGCTCGCGGAACACAGGGCAGTACACACGAGGCGTTGTGTGCGTTCTCAAGGAAAGGCATCACCACAGACAAAAGTATAGTCAGAGGGGCAGGCAGCAGTGCCAGTGGGGACCGCCACTCACGGCCCCCGCGAGCGCCTGCAGCGAGATGTCCATCGCTGCATTGGTTTTCGCCAAGCATGAGGCATGAGCGCATTGGTTTAGTGCGCGCAATGCGCGGGGAGGGCGGTCTAGCCTTCGCCGGCATGGCAAAGAAGGCGTCTCGGGCGGGCGCCTCCGCCCCTGAGGGTCAGGCCCCTGACGCCTGAGCCTCTGTTCTCCACACTCCAGCGCGTGCCGAGACCCCGGAGCCCGGTAATTGGGTAGAAAATGCGGGGGAAATAGCAGAGATCAGTAAGTACAAAACTGGACAAGATCGATGTTATAATCAAATTGAGATAAATAGTAGGCACTGTAGCCGCGGACCATCGCGCGCTCTAGGACAATTGTAGCCGCAAAAAGTCAAAAGCTGCCGGTGCCGCGGGAGCCGTCGCCGCGCTCGATCGACGGCGCGTGCGCCGCATTGAGCTCGTGCAGGGCCGCCTCGATGGGCTCGCAGAGGTCGCTGAGCCGTTCGGCGAGCGCGCGGGCGGAGCCCGGGAGGCGCGAGAGCCGCCCCTCGGCGGCGCGCACCGCCTGCTTCTGCGCGTGCAGCTGCTGGCGCAGCTCGAGCGCCTCGCGGCTGCGCGCCTCTGCGGCCGTCTGGTGGCTCGCCGCCGCCGCACGCGCCGCCTCCAGCTCCGTCGACAGCGCCGCCTCGCGCTTGCGCGCCGTGGCAAGCTCGGTGCGCGCGCCGCTCAGCGCCGCGTCCGCTCCGGCGCGTGCCTCGCGGAGGGACGCAACCTCGGCAGCGCGCGCCTCGAGCGCCGTGGCCGACTCGCGCGCCGCGTCGGCACGCGCCGCCGCGTCGCGCCTCGCCTCGTCGAGCTGCGAGCGCAGGGCCGCCGCGCCGCTCTTGGCGGTCGCGAGCTCCTCGGCCTGGCGGGCGGGCGGGCGAGGGGGGGGGAGTTTGGGGGGGGGGGGAGGGGGGGGGCTGCGCGAGGCCCAAACGGCGGCGGCGGCTTGCCTGCGCTGCGATCCGCTCCTCGTTGCGCTTGGCCGCCGCATCCCGCACCGCCAGGCTCTCGGAGAGGGTTGTGAGGGTCCTCCTGTTCTGCTCCGCCTCCTCGGCCGCCCGCCGCAGCGCTGCCTGCTCTGCCGCGAGATCCGACCGCGCGGCGCGGCTCGCCTAGAAGGCCAAAAAGGTTCTAGAAGGTTCCTAGAAGGTCTAGAAGGTCCGCACGCGCGGCGCGGCTCGCCTCCGCAGCCTCGCCCGCCCGCCTCGCCTCCGCCTTCCTCGCCTCCTCCGCCTCGGCCCGCGCCGCCTCCGCCCTCGCCAGCTGCGCCCGCACCTCCCTCTCCGACGCCTCGCACTCGCCCTGCGCGCGCGCGGACGCAATCGCTCGCGCCTCCGCCTCGGCCGCCGCCGCCTCCGCCGCCTCGACGCGCCCCTTGAGCTGCCTCGCCTCGGCCGCGGCGCCCTCCGCGGCGGCGGCGGCCGTCTGCGCCGCCTCCGAAGAGCGCGCCTCGAGCTCCGCCACACGCGCCTCTGCCGCCGCCGCCCGCGCCTCCGCCGGATCGCCGCCACCTCGCTCGCCCGCAGTCGAGACCAGCCGGCGAGTCGACGCCGCCTGCGCCGCCGGCCTCGCCGCCGCCGCCTCGCCAAAACCGCCACCGCCGCCACCTCCACCGCCGCCGCCACCACCACCGACGCTGCCGCCGCCGCCGTCCTCGTCCCGCGCCGCGCCGCCGCGCGCCGACGACTGGGACTGCGACGGGAAGGAGAAGACGTCGGCCGGCGCCGTCGCTCGTCCGCCCGCACCTCCGCCCGCACCGCTCACGCCCGCACCGCTCAAGCCCGCACCGCCGCCCTCCGCCGCGCGGGCCCGCTTCCGAGGCTGCGCGGCGGGCGGCACCTCCTCCGCCGCGCCTCCCCCGCCGGCCCGCTGGTGCGGGTGCGCCTCGATCCTCCGCAGCACGGGCCCGAGCCGCAGCAGGAGGGAGCCGTCCGCCCACACGCCGCTGCCCGCGTAGCCTCCGACCACCGCTAGCGCCGGCCCCTGCGAGCGACGCTCGAGCAGCGCGGCGCCGTGCGACCCGCGAGCGACGCCGGCCGCGCCTCCCGCCGGGGCGGGGTTGGCGGGTGGCGGAGGGAGCCACTCGAGCCGAGCGGCGTCGAATGCGAGCAGGCCTCCTGCAGGGGGGGGCGGGCTCCAGCAGGCTGAGGGAGGCAGCCGAGCGGCGATGGTGAGGCGATGCGGCGGCGGGGAGAAGGGGGGGGGGGTTGGGGGTCGTCGCCTGTCCGGCCGGTGGTTGCGCGCGAGCCGCCTCCCCCCTCAGCCGGCCTCTCGACCTACGGACGCGGCTCGGACACGTCGTGGGGACGTGTCCTGGACATGTCCCTCCCTCGGCCGGCCTCTCGACCTACGGACGCGGCTCGGACACGTCGTGGGGACGTGTCCTGGACATGTCCCCCCCTCGGCCGGCCTCTCGACCTACGGACGCGGCTCGGACACGTCGTGGGGACGTGTCCTGGACATGTCCCTCCCTCGGCCGGCCTCTCGACCTACGGACGCGGCTCGGACACGTCGTGGGGACGTGTCCTGGACATGTCCCTCCCTCGGCGTGCCACTTGGACCCGCCCGCCGAAGAGGAGGACGGTCGAGCCTGGCAAACAAGCAGCCTCCGGTGAGAGCTTGGCTGGGGGGCAGCCGCAAGGCGAGGGCAGCCGGGCCGTGCGACACGGCCGAGTGCGACGAGCGGCCTCCTCCCGGGCATTGGTGCTGCGCGGGCGGGACGGCGTCCCAGCTGAGCGAGGCGAGGTCGAGGGCAAACATGACGGGCGCGCAGACGGCGTCCACGTCGGAGCGGCCGCCAAAGAGGAGGACGCGCCTGGGGAGGTTCCGAGAAGCTTCGCGGACGGGAGGGGGAGGGGGCAGGGCAGGGAGGAGGAGGGACGCGGCAGGGAAGCGGCGAGGCGAGGGGGCGGCTGCGCGCGCCCGGCGGCGCAGGCGGCGGAGTGGTAGCAGCGCGGAGAGGGGACTGCTGCCGCGCCGCCGCCCGTGCGCACCCTGCTCCACGTGGGCGTGGCGACCTACGGGGTCGCGTTCCCGACGCGTCGTGCGCCGAGCCGCAGTCCCGCTCCTCCCACCGCCCACGCCTCTGCCGCACCGACAGGAGCCACAGGTCGTCCAGCACGGCGCCGCCCTCGCCGCAGCCGCCGTGGACTAGCAGCCGGGGCGGGGCACTCACGAGCGCCGCCGCGTGCGCGCCGCGCGCCGGCGGCGGCTCGCCGCGGCTCTCGACGCACACCCAGGCCTGGTCCTCGCCGCGAAACTGCCAGACGTCGTTGAGGTACGAGACAGGGTTGCCTTCGTCCGCCGCCGCGCCGCTGCTGGCGCGCGAGCGGCGGCGCGGCCGCTTTGGAGGCGCCGTCGCGCCTCCAAACACGAGGAAGGCGCGCGAGTCGATGGCGGTGGCGGTGTGGAAGGCACGCCGCTGCGGCCACGAGGCGGAAGCGCCGCGAAGGAGCCGGCGCCACGTCATGGCGCCGTCCGTCGCGTCGAGCACGTGCAGATCGTCGAGATACTCGTCCGCGCTGCCCGCGCCTAACCGCGGGGAGGGATGACCGGTCGGCGCGGCGCGGGGCACGCGGGTGTGGCGCTGGCCGTCGCACCGCCGCTGCCGAGGCGCGCAGCGGCATCAATGCCACCAAACACGTAGAGCAGCGCGCGGTCGCGCGTCCTGAGCGCGGCGCAGGCCAGGCCGTGGCGCATCGTGGGCGGGACGCCGCCGGCCTCGAGCCTTTCCCAGCCAGCCTCCGCCTCGCTAGCGACCATTGCTGTGGAAAAAGAATTGTTTATCGATCAACACTTTCGATAGACCGAAAGTAAGATCGTTCGGTGCAGAAACCCCGGCCATGCCCATGTAACGCAATTGTGCTCGATTGTTTTGATTTTTTGGTCGAGAAGTGTCTCCAAGTCTTCTGGACCCATCGATGGCCGTCGCCTCGACGCCGCTCGTCGCGGCACCATCGTGCCCGGCCTGGGCGAAGCATCGTCGCGGGCGCCAGCCGCAGTTCGACGGCAAGCCGTGCGAGCCTGCCGAGGAGGAGGACATGTGGCTGTGCCTGGCCGACGGCCGCGCGCGCAGCACCGCCGACCTGAAGCGCCTGGCGACAGCCGCTCGGGTGCGAGCGAAACGAGCAGGAGATGAAGCCGCCGCGAACACGCGCGATCGGCAGGCGCGCGACCAGCGCCGCCGGCAGCGTGAGCAGCACGACCGGCGCGCAGCGCCGGCGGTCGCCAAGACCGTGCGCCCACAACGCGGCCAGTGCGGCTGCCCGGCGCACGCGGTGTGCGGCATGTGCGTCGACCAGGGCAAGCTCGCCGCGGCCGAGCAGGCGGCCATCGACCTGGAGACGCGCTTCCACGCCTCGACGAACGTCGTCATGGACCTGGAGCGGCCCGAGGACAAGACGGCGGCGCTGCTGCAGCGCTGCGTGCACGTCTCCGACGAGACGAAGCGGCGGCTGCTGGGCGAGTGGAGCGACGAGCGCATGGCGCACGCGCTGCCGCTGCACGCATGCGTTAGAAAAGGAGTTGCACGTGTTGATCGCCGCGGGAGCCCTCTTATTTTTTCTTTTGTTTCTAATTTTGGCCCCAAAACAGCCTCAGACTCAGCTCAGAGCCCAAAAAATGATGATTTTAGCGGAGTTTTCCCCGAAAAATAGAGAGGAAAACAGAGAGTGTTGTAGAGAAAAAAGGAAAGGATGGGTGCCTTCCTTCGGGGACACACAATTCCAGAAATGGTGGTGTCCCCGCTCCTCGCTCGCCCGGGCGGAGGGCATGGCCGCGGAGGAGGCGAGTACACGCTTGCCAGGCCTTCCTCCGACAGCCTCTCGGGCAGACTGAGGGTCGGCTTTGCGTGGCGTGGCCCGTACGCTGCGCTGCGCAAAGCTGCGTATGCGGAGGGAGCATCCTGTGCTTCCACTGGGAGGTGCGCACCTCCTGCAGCTGATGGAAGGCCGTGCCGCCGCTCGCCTGCTCCGTGGACACCTCATCCACGTACACTGTGCCGAACACGCCGAGGTCGGACAAGGCACCGAGGATGCGGCGCCACGACGCGGCCAAGATGGACAGCCGCAGGACGCTGAGTCTGTCAAAGTAGTTGGCTACAGCGGGATCGGGCTCACAGAACGGGAGCAGTGCACTGATGGCGGCCCACTGCGGAATCTGGACCCACGACCGTTGCATCCCTGGAGGAGGAGGGGGCAGATTGAGGAGGGCCGGATTTCCCACCGCCGACCACGGAATGAAGCGCCGGGTAGAGGATACCACTGATGAGTCGACGGGAACCACCAGTGGTTTTGCGGGATCGGGGTTCTGCTCGGCCGGAATGCTGAGCTCGGCGACGGTGAGGTCCGGCATCGCGGCGCCGGTCGACTCGTCGAGGCTCGAGGGCTGCCTCTCGACTTTACTCCCGCGTCACAACGAAAGCACGAGAGCGTGCACGACAGACAGAGCGACGGCGCAGCGCACTGCCGTCCAGCTAAAAAGCGGCGGCCGACGGTTGCTGCGCAAAGTGATCAGTTCTAAAATAGGTGCCGGGGCCCAACGGATAGATGAATCCGGGGCACCCTCCGCTCGAAACCCTGGCTGGGGGTTCGAGGTGGCCCCCACCCGGGCCTCCCGTCAAAGGGACTGCGGCAGAAGACGCCCAATCTTGCACAAGTGTAAGAAACATACGGTGCGGAGGCTCCGAGGAGCCCTCGCCTGGCTGCCGGGGTCTAGAGTAAAGGTCGTGCCTTAGGTGTGCGCAAAAAGCAGGACACGAGTGGTGAGCACACACACACACGCAGGACCCTCGTCGCGACGAAAGGAGAAGAGAAAACGAGCTCGCGTGACACGATTGAGAGAAAGAAGAAACTCAGCCCACTTAATCGCCACGATGGCTGAGGAAAGGAGGTGAGTTCGGGCCGGCCCTCGTGTCTGCCGCCACGCTTTCCAAGTGCTCTCCTCTTCGGCTGGCAGACCCGGCGGGTTGTGGAATCCTTGTTTCGGACTTGTCACATGACACGTTCCCCGGGACCAACCCAAGATGCAAAAAATATTCCAAAGCCATCAGGGTGGGTGACACCCTTCTTGCTCCTCAAGCGCCTCTTCCCGCCGATGGTCGTCGCCGCGCCAGCACTGTCCACGGCCGCCAAGCGTGTGCTCGTCCTCGGCTGGTTCGGGAGCACGCCAAGCGCTATGAGGCCGATTGCCGACATGTGCGCCGGCGCACAGGGCCCCGAACCCGTAGCATCTTGCGTATCCAACCGCTCGGCGACCGCCTCCCGCAGGTACTCGCAGCTCGGCTATGAGCCCACGCTGCTACCGTGCGAGCGCAAGGACGCGCTGCGCTCGATGTGGTACCCGTCCTGGCGAAAGATGATCAAGGAGGGTCCGCCGGCAGAGGTGCTCGAGAGCGGTGAGTTCGATCGCGTGCACCTCTTCAGCGGCGCGGTATTCAAGTACTACTGCTGGATGAAGGGCGGCAAGGGCGAGAGCCTTGGCCACTCGGAGATCGTCTTCGACTCGACTCCCTTCCTGCCGACGCCCGGCCAACTCTGGTCGTTTACGGGCGGCATCGCCGGGTCGTCGCCGACGGCGCAGCGGCTCCTGCGCATGCCCGGGTCGCGCCGGGTGTTCGAGACCGGGATCAACCTCGCGTGGAAGTCGACCGGGTACCGCTACAAGAAGCGGCTCGCCGAGTTCGAGGATGAGCTCGACTGCGGCAGGAGGAAGCTCGTCCTGCTCGGCGGCGCAGACTCGATGGTCGACCCAGAGGTGGTCGAGCGGCAGGTGGGTCGGTGGAGGGCCTCGGGGACGGATGTCGCGCTCCACCGCTTCGACGGCGTCGGCCACGTCCTCGCGCACCGCCGGCGGCCGAAGCCATACTTGTCTGCGCTCGCCGGCGAGGCGGCGGCGGAGGAGGCTGCCGCTCCGGCGGCGGCGAAGCAGGCAGCCCGAGCCAAGCACGCGGTGCTGCAGCCGTACCCCGGGGACGTTGGCTTCATCCCCCAAGCTTTGCCCAGCCCTGCCTTCCCTTGACCGCTCGCCTCGGCTCGGCTCGGACCGGGCGCCTCCATCTCTCCCCTCCACCCCTCTCTGTGTCTCTGCGCGCCCCTCACCTCATCCCCTTCCCTCCCCCCTCCTCTCCCCACGCATGCACGGTGCACCTGGAGGAGCGTGACGGCTACCAATCGCGCCGTGAGGCACGAGTCGCCAGAGAGGGCGAGAAAGCCTTGGCGAGCTGACTGTAGAGTTGACCCAAGCCTCGGCCCACTCGCAAGGGATGTGGTTTTTTGGCTTCAGTGTGTGTAAGTGCGCGGGTATTAGCGATTCCTCTAGTTGTGCAAGTTGTGTGTAATATTCTTTCTACGATTGTGTGAGCAGACTCTCTCATCGCCTGCTGAAAGAACCCATACCGCTGGCGCCTCCGTTCATCAGACCGCGCGTGCTGCCCGCTTGCCCGGTGCAAGCTCGCGGATGCGCCCCTCCCCCTGCGCGGTCAAACGCGGGAGATCCGCCCTTGGAACCGCCTCCGCTCCGGGCTCCCACCGGAGAGGCCTGCAGAGTCAGTGCGTCCCAGGGCTGGGAAACCTCGTTGAGTGAGCGGGCTCGCGCCTAAAGAGAGGCGAGCACACAGTGCGTGAGCGGGGCGAAAAGTCGAAAAGTGTGCCACCAGGAGAAAGGAGCTGGGCGGCTCACGTCGTACTCGACCTGCTGCGCGCGGTTCTCGGTGTCTGATCCGCAGCGGTCCGCAGCGAACGCGCGCCACCACGCTTTCGCCACCGAGTCGAGCCCAGCGTCAGTGTATTGATACTGCCATCGGGGGAGGCCCCGGTGAAGGACCATCAGCCGGAAGTAGTCGACAAAGGAGCTGGCGATGAAGGACCAGCTGCAAGAGGCGTCTTGGAACCAGACCTGCGCGCGACCCTCTCCTCCGGCGTAGAGCAAGCACACGCGGCCCGATGAGGTGCTTGCGTCGAGCTCCACAGCCCGGAGTTGCGCCTCTGACGGCAGCTCCGGCCGCCTGCCGCGAGCAGTCGGGCGACGGGTCGGCTGCCGCTGATGAAGGCGCGGCCCATCAACCGAGCTAGGGCGCACCTCTCCCCCGTGGCGGTAAGGAAGGCGCTGTCGGGCACCGGCCTGAGATCCGCCAGCCGAGCGAGGTGCCTGTGCGGGTGGAGTATCAAAATCACACGCTTTGGGGGGAGTGGATAGCTTGACAGGCGACGACAGAGGGTCTGTCTGTGGCACAATCTCGTCGGTCACATGTGGCCGATCGGCAGTCGTTGGCGGCAGTGAAGGACGCTCCACCGCAGCAGCAGCCCGTCTGAGGATAGGAGGAATGCCTGAGCGGGGAGGGTGGTGCGGGCATCAGGCTCGCCGACTGCCGACGTGATCGGACGTCGCGGCGTGGCGGACACTCTGGGAGCTAGTCGTCTAGCCTTGTAGTCGTTGGGCAGCCGCAGCGGAGAATGCTGCCTATTGTGCATGTCGCCAGCCGCTGTGAGCCGACTGGCCCGTGCCGCCCTGATCGCCGAGCGTGCGCACCGCTCCCACTCTGCGATGGACGCTGCGCTGCACTTTGGGCGCTCCTCCAGCTCGACGCACTCCACGCTTGGCAGCGCCTGGAGTGTGGCGCAAACCTCCCGGACGACGTCCAGCATGTGGGGTGGTGTGTGCTCGATCTCGTAACGACAACGGGCGGGAACTCCGCCGAGCAAAATTTAGACATCGGAATGGGACGACGGGGGCCCGCCACCACACCGACAGGGAGAAGGGGTTTCTGATTTCTTTCGCGATGATCTCGGTAAAGGGGGAATGTCACGGTACCCAGAGATTTGCCTCTTCGATGCGCCGTCTCTCTGGGTACCTCGGGCTCGCAGAGCTCGAGCCGGAGAGCAAGTCGCCTCCCGCGCCTCTCGTCGCTGCGCCCGCTCCAGCCGCCGCTGCTGGCGCTCCCGACTTCTCTCTCGTCTCCGACCCGGCTGGCGGCTATGCTGCAGCAGTCGGCGCCGGATCGAAGAAGGCACAAGCGTCCGCCGGCAAGGTCTTCGGCCTCGGCATCTTAGCGGGTACACACATCGGCTTCGGCGCCTATCTCGCCGTGGCCATCGGCGCCGCTTGCCCCGGCCTCCACGCCTCCAATCCGGGCCTCCAGAAGATGGTTTTCGGCGCATTCGGCCTGCCATTCGGATTATTCATGATCTCGATGTCCGGCGCAGAGCTTTATACGGGCAACGCGGCCCTCGTGCCGATGGCGTGGCTGGAGGGGAAGGCCACCGCCGCTCAGGTCGTCCGCAACCTCGGAGGTGTACTGCCCGCCCCGCTGCCAGCCTCTCCCACGCCATCCAGGTCTCCCGCCACATTACCCCTCTGCCCCCACTCTCCAGAGCCTGATGGGGCAATTTACAGCGCCCCTCTGCCCCCACACTCCACAGCCTCGTGGGCCGGCAACCTGCTCGGAAGCATCCTCCTCGCGGCGCTGGTGACTGCCGGCGGCACGCTCGGCGAGGCGGCCGCCGCTCAAAAGATTGCCTTCGGAAAGACGCACGAGCCGCTGCTCGTCGTCCTCGTACGCGCCGTCCTCTGCAACTGGCTCGTCTGTATGGCCACGTACATGTCCCTCCAGGCCAAAGACACGACCGGCAAATTTGTCGCCATCTGGCTGCCCATCTCGGCCTTCGTCGCGCTGGGGCTGGAGCACACCGGCAGCACACACCACACACCCCGCCCCTCGGCCCTTCCTCGCGAGCTCGCTCCTCACGCGCCCCATATCCGCGACCACAGTCGCAAACATGTTCCTGCTTCCCCTCGGCATCCTCAACGGGGCGGACACGTCGTGGACCGAGGCGCTCGTCCACAACTTGCTGCCCGTGACGCTCGGCAACACCGCCGGCGCGCTCCTCGGCGTGGCGCTTCCCTTCTCCTTCGGCTTCGGCGCAGTCGGCAAGAAGCTCCTCGGGTCGGCTGCCCCGCCGCTGATCTCCGACGCCGCACGGTCGTTTGCTTCGTCGCACACCTCGTCTGCGCGCGACAACGCAGGCAACCAGGCCACCGATCTCGTGTGAGGGGCACACCTCTGTCTCGCGCACGCTGTTGTGGTACGTGCAAAAGTGCCGGCTATCACTGCGCCATGCCGCGGCCTGCCTGACTGTGCGGCCAGCCGTGTATGTACAATTTCCGATTCTCATTTACTGACGCAGCACATGCTAAAATGAAAACATTGGTAACGTAGGCATGCACATTGCACAAAGTGAACACAAATCACAAGACACCCCGCTGAGATATAAAACATCAAGAGAACAGCGCAGCGGACTTTTAGCGACGCCTACGGCGGCGGCTCACAGGGGGCGCCACAGGGGGCGGCGGCGAGGGCGACGCCGAGGGTGGCGGCGGTGAGGGCGACGCCGAGGGTGGCGGCGGCGAGGGCGGCGGCGGCGACGGCTCGGGCTGCTCTGGCGAGGGCGGGGGCGGCGGGGATGGCTCTGGTGACGAGGGCGGCGGCGGCGACGGCTCTGGCGACAAGGGCGAGGGTGGAGGCGGCGGGGATGGCTCTGGTGACGAGGGCGGCGGCGGCGACGGCTCTGGCGAGGGCGGCGGCGGCGAGGGCGGTGGCGGCGAGGGTGGCGGCGACGGAGGGGGCGACGGCGGGGGCGGCGTGGGCGGAGGCGGCGTGGGCGGCGGCGGCGGCGGCGGCGGCGGCGACGGCTCTGGCGACAAGGGCGAGGGTGGGGGCGGCGGGGATGGCTCTGGTGACGAGGGCGGCGGCGGCGACGGCTCTGGCGAGGGCGGCGGCGGCGAGGGCGGTGGCGGCGAGGGTGGCGGCGACGGAGGGGGCGACGGCGGGGGCGGCGTGGGCGGAGGCGGCGTGGGCGGCGGCGGCGAGGGCGGCGGCGGCGACGGCTCGGGCTGCTTTGGCGAGGGCGGGGGCGGCGGCGACGGCTCTGGCGAGGGCGGCGGCGGCGAGGGCGGTGGCGGCGAGGGTGGCGGCGACGGAGGGGGCGAGGGCGGTGGTGGGCTGGGCGGCGGTGGCGACGGAGGTGGAGGGCTCGGTGGCGGAGGCGAAGGCGGCGGCGGGCTTGGTGGCGGCGGGCTAGGAGGCGGCGGCGAGGGTGGCGGCGGGCTAGGAGGCGGAGGTGACGGCGGCGGTGGCGAAGGTGGCGGCGGCGAGGGCGGGGGTGAGGGCGGCGGGGGCGATGGTGGAGGAGGCGAGGGTGGCGGTGGTGACGGAGGCGGCGGCGACGGCGGCGGCGGCGACGGTGGCGGTGGTGAGGGCGGAGGCGGCGAGGGTGGCGGCGGAGACGGAGGTGGCGGCGACGGAGGAGGTGGTGACGGCGGAGGCGGCGAGGGCGGCGGTGGCGAGGGTGGCGGCGGCGAGGGTGGCGGCGGCGACGGAGGAGGTGGCGACGGCGGCGGTGGCGACGGCGGTGGCGGCGATGGAGGTGGAGGCGACGGCGGCGGCGGCGATGGCGGCGGCGATGGCGGCGGCGATGGCGGCGGAGGGCTTGGTGGAGGTGGCGATGGCGGCGGGGGGCTTGGAGGTGGCGGCGAGGGCGGCGGGGACGGCGGCGGTGGCGACGGCGGCGGCGGCGACGGCGGCGGCGGCGAAGGGGGTGGGGGGGAAGGCGGCGGCGGCGAGGGCGGTGGCGGCGACGGAGGGGGCGACGGCGGCGGCGGAGAAGGTGGCGGTGGCGAAGGCGGTGGCGAGGGGGGTGGCGGCGATGGCGGAGGCGAGGGAGGCGGCGGCATGACATATTCAAATTCCTGACTAGCATGGTTCCACAG